CACTTAACTTTATAAGAAATTGCTAAGTTCTTTTCCAGTAACTATACTTTCAAATGTTTTACTAGCAACCTAGGGGAGTTCCTGTTTTGTTTTGTTTTTTTAGATTTAAATTATTTTATGTGTATAGGTGTTTTGCCTGCATGTATGTCTGTGCACCACATATGTGCCTGGTGCTTGTGGAGGCCAAAAGAGCGTCGGATCCTCTGAAACTGGAGTCATAGATAACTGAGAATCATCTGTGCAGATAGCTGAAGGTATTATTTGAAACAGGAAAGACATCTGAATCTGGGTCATCGCGTGTTGTCTTCCCTGCATCTCTTCAGCTTTTCTGTCTCTTCAAAAGACACTTGCTATTGGATTTGGGGACCCACTCAAATCCAAGATGACTGTCCCAGGAACCTTACTGTACTCACTTAAGCAAAACTCTGATTCCAGCCAAGCTCAGCTTGGACCCGTCTTTTGAAAAGATACTGTCTGTTCACATGCCTGAACACTTGGTCCCCAGCTGGTGGCACCTCTGGGACACGGGTCACCAGGGGCAGGCCTCTGAAGGTTCTCCCCATCTCCACTTCCAGTTTAGCTGTCACTTCCTGACCAGCCAAGATGTGAATGAGTCCCACCACAAGCTCCATTGCCAAAGGCCATGTTAGCCTGTGCCTTCCCTGCCGAGATAGACCAAAATAAACCTTTCCCCATGCAGCTGTTTCTACCGGGTATTTGGTAGATGAGGAAAGCGACCGTGCACTATCCAGCCTAGTACACCAGTTAACTCAGTTAACTACCTATCCAGCCCAGTACACCAGTTAACTCAGTTAACTACCTATCCAGCCCAGTACACGTTAACTCAGTTAACTGCACCCTGTGCATCCCCTTCCAGAACTGTCTTGAATCCACCGTCCTCTTTTGGACACCACTGTCTCTGGCATGGGTTATCCCTCCAGATGACTGACTGGCTTATCTGTCCCATTCCGATCCTCTTCACTCATGCTCTTTAGCAGCCAGAGTGACCTGGGACAGGTGAGCTTCCATGACCTCCTGAGCATTTGTTCCGAGTGGCCTCAAACGCTGACCACACAAACGTGCTGTTTGTTCTGCAGCAAACACCGCAGTGGGTCCCTGACTCGGCCGGTCAGAGCATTGCCCTGGGATCTTCCTGGCTAAACAGGACTCATAGCACCATCCTTCGCCCAACCACACTGTGAGTTTGCTAAGAGATAATTCGTCTTGCTGGAGGAAGCACTTGGGGATGGTTTAGAGAGCTCACAGTCTCACCTCGCCTCTAGGTCACACACCCGTCTCTGCTGCTCGTTTGTGATTGAAGATGCGACCTCCCCGCTTCCTGCTCCAGCCACCCGCTGCCTCTCTGGACGCCCCTGCCTGGAACCACAAGCCCAAACTCTTCCTTAAGCTGCTTCTGGGCATGCGCTGTACTGCCACACAGAAGGGGAACCGGTGTGGAAGTGGGGACACTGAGCAGTGCTTGGGTGACCTCCCCTCCCTGTCTTGATCATGGACTGAGGTGACGATAGTGGATAAGTGTTGGAAACCCACATCATCATATGCAAGTTATAGGATCCTGAGCATTCCTCAAGGGACTTTGCCACCCACCCTAAGGCATTTCATGTGTTCGCAGTTGTGTGTGGCATAGTTATATCATGGTAGAGGTGGGATGACAACCCGGTTATTGTTGACATAAGGAGATGTGATTATGTGACAAGTTGACAAGGTTTGGACTTGTGATGGCTAACGCTGGCTGTCAACGTGACTAAAGTCCAACCTGCCTGACACTCACTCCTCAAGGGTTTTTCTTTCTTTTTTTTTTAAATTTATTTTAACTTTATTTTATATGCATTGGTGTGAAGGTGTCAGATCCTGGAGATCTGAACTCACAGACAGTTGTGAGCTGCCATGTGGGTGCTGGGAATTGAACCCGGGTCCTCTGGAAGAGCAGCCAGTGCTCTTAACCACTGAGCCATCTCTCCAGCCCCTCAAGGGTTTTTCTTGATCATATTACTTGAAGCAGGAAGACTCACCCTGAGTCTGGGCCACGCCTGCTGGCAGTAGCCCGGTAAGGAGGCGTAGGACGGCGTAGGAAGGACACTCTGGTTTCTGCCGGCTTGCCTTCACTCTCGTTGGTGAGGCCACCTATCCTATTGCTGGACTTCATCGCCAATATTAGAACCAACGTCTTTGGGGTTCCAAAGCAAGCTGAAGACCAGCGGCTCTCCAGCAATTCTCCAGGCGCTCGGTGCAGGTCAGGCCTGGGCTGAACAATTACCAGAATCTTGGCCTCTCCGGTGTGAGACAGCCGTTGCTGGACTGCCGGGACCACAACCTGTGAGCCAGTCTAGAGAAAACCCTTTTACTGCGTGTATTCTATCAGCTGTTCATAGAGAACCCTGGCCAGTACACTCTCCAGCTTCTCCCAGGGGCCCCCCCGCCTGCTGTCCTGGGGCTGCCCTTCCTGCTGCATGTCTTCATGACTCTTGGCCATGGATCTTCCTGCCCCTGTGACAATGGGCCTCTGCTACACTTGGGCACTGGCCACACCTGTGCAGGTGCAGAACAGGGCAATGCCGGAATCATCTGGGTTCAGAGCTGGCCATCCAGTCCCAGAGAGAACACCCTGGCACCACAGGCTTCCCATGTGCCCTGCAGAGGGCTACAGGCTTCCCAGGACCTGCATTTAAAAAGGAAAGTCCTTTGATTTGGACCTTTCTAACAAGCCACAGCCGGGCAGTGCTGTCTCTCGTGGGCACGGAGGACTCCCTCAGACCCTCTGATCAGTTAAAGAAGAGAAGTCTCCCACCTGCAGTGGGCTGTTTTGCTTGGGATTGCTCTGCAGTGTTTGGGGTGCAGCCTGGGCACAGTGGGGCTGTGATCTGCAGGACAGAGCCCTATCGTCACCCCCTCCCCTCTGTGGCAGCCTCTTGAATTTGCTTCCTGAGAATCAAGGCCAAGAGCAGCTCATGGACGGTGAGTAGTGGGAGTGGCAACTCCGGCTGTCCTGTTTACTCCACAGCAGTAAATAACAGGTGCCAGTGGGCACACCCCCGCCACAGGGTGTATTTATTCTTTAAAATACAACCGAGTTTACTCTCACCCGAAATAGACGAAGAACACTGATTGTATCATTGGTGTCGTTCGTTTCTTTCGAACTGAGATTTGGCTGGTTTTAAAGCAACTGAATGTCTATAGCTCTTAGCTGGGCAGGTTTCATTCTGTACTTGAATATATAACAGTATTCTAGCAATTTCCAGAAAGTTCTATGAGTTTGTATATTCATTTTAAGTTTAAATAAATTCTCTTGCACTAATTAAAATTTACTGTATTCCTATAGGGTTGATTTGCTATTTAAAAAATAATAGTAATTGTGAGATTTTTTTCCTCTTGTGTTCGCTCAAGGTCTCAAATTATTCTACCAGCAATGTAGAAATGCTTCCGAGAGCCAAAATTATGAGATTCTAATCTCATTGGTCCTGGGCTTTGACAAGTGTGGATTGGAGATTCACATTTAAACAGTCCTTTCTGTAAAATAAGTAAGATTACCCACTCACTCTACCAAGGAACTCTGATTTTACACCAAATAAAACTTCGATGTTTTAGTTTAGAGAGCAGCAGCCGAATGTCCAGTGGGTGGTATGAGAGCCGTGGGGTGGACCCCGCACACTGAGGTGACGTCAACAAACTCACTCGGGGAATGTGACTTCTCTGGCTCCCTCGGCAGAGAAGAGTTTTGAGTTAAACAGCAGCTGAGATCCTAATCTTCTCATCAGAGCACATGATATCTTTACCCAGAGCCAAGGAGACCAGAAAAGCCAACTTGTACTCTTCCCTTTTTAAAATTAAATTCTCTTTGAAAATAAGTACACATTGTATAACACAAAACGCACAAAAGGGTGCACTGTGGAAAGTCCATCTCCTCCCCCAGCTCCCTTCTCTAGGGGCAACCAGTGCCACTCATTTCTTGTATATTCTCCCACAGAGATATCAGACTGCAGTGACTGGAGAAGTGGCTATCAGTGCTGCTGGGAGCGGGTGGAACCTAGCAGAAGGACGTTAGGTCATTGTGACCTCGAAGGGGACTCTGGGAACCCAGTGCCCCCTTCCTCTTCTTGGCCACCACAGAAAGCCCCTTCCTCCAGCACACACCCCTGCACAGTTGGCTGCTCCGTCACAGACATAGACGCAATGGAACCAAGTGACCATGGGTGAAACCTCTGGAACTCTGAGACCAAATGACCTTTCCTTTTCATAAATTCATTTCCCTCAGGTATTTGCTACAGGGAAGGGAATCTGGTTACATGTATATGCTCATTAACTCAAGGCAAATCAATGCACCCAAAGGTTTTCACACTATGTTTTAGCTTATTTTTCACTGATTACTGTTTAGATCTACAAACCTTTTCATGGCTCCTCTGCATGGAAATTCCACATGTATGTCACCCTCACTTGGTGGCTGTAATGACTCACTTTAGTTATTCAGAAGTTCTTCACTATCCTTGGAGGATTGGCTCCAGGGTTCCCACAGAGGACTCTATGAATGCTTAGGTCATTGATGTATAATATAAAATTTGAAAACACCCTGTGCTGCACGTTCTTCTGTGTGTTTCAATCATCTTTTTTTTTTTTTTTTTTTTTGACTTTTGATTTTTTTGAGACAGGGTTTCTCTGTGTAGCCTTTGCTGCCCTGGAACTCACTCTATAGACCAGGCTGGCCTCGAACTCACAGAGATCCACCTGGCTCTGCCTCCCGAGTGCTGGGGTTAAAGACACTGCTGCCCGGCTGTCTTCCCTTTTTAACTCACACTTTCCTTGTGCTGACGTTTTCCTTTCACTGAAGGAAGGTCCTGTTTTTCTGTCCTGTGATCTGACTGCATATCTTTCCACTGAGATTTTAGATTTTTTTTTTCTTTTAGGACTGAAGGCTGGTGAGAAAATCAGCAGTATAAATGGCAGTGTTTCTACAGTTTGCCATTTGTATTTTTTTTTTTTTTTTTTTGGTTTTTCGAGACAGGGTTTCTCTGTGTAGCTTTGCGCCTTTCCTGGATCTCACGCTGTAGACCAGGCTGGCCTCGAACTCACAGAGATCCGCCTGCCTCTGCCTCCCGAGTGCTGGGATTAAAGGCGTGTGCTACCACCGCCCGGCTGCCATTTGTATTTTTTTAAAGCTTTTATTTTTTAATTACGTGTTGATGCACATGTGTGAAGGTGCCCATGGAGGCCAGAGGAGGGCGTGGGATCCCTGGAGTTAAAGTTCAGGCCGTTGTAAGCCATCTGCCATGGTGCTGGGAACTGAATTCAGATCCTCTGCGAGAGTCTAATACACATCCTTGCCCACTGAGCCGTCTCTTTGGTCTCCTGTATTTCAGTTTTCTGACAGGCAAACACATTCAAACAATTTTAAGCGTGGTCAAATTTGATGATGTTATATTCAAAACCTTGTGTTTTGAACTGTTGGTTTTTGAGAGTGGCATATATGTTGGTAGGTTCTCACCTATTGCACACAGAAAGCCTCCGTAAGCTGTCCCGGGTACTCACCCCGCCATGGTTTTGGATATGGGCCTGCACTCTTAGCCCAGGACATTTGGTCTCATCCGGGCCTTTCTGTTTCCCAGTGATCAAGTGGAAACCCCAGGAAGCCTTCAACCAGACCCAGTCCAGCTCCCTCCTGCATGACCCTGTGGAGGGGAGGGACAGCACCAATTGTACCAGGACCCTGAGGCTGCCAGATGCCACCAGTGCCGCCTGGTACATCCTCACCATCATCGGCATCTATGGTGTGATCTTTGTCTTCCAGCTGGCCAGCAACATCCTCAGGAAAAGTGAGAGGTCCTTGGAGGACATTTGCTATTCCAACTTAACTTCTGAACTCAAAAGGGAAGGGTTTCAGAGCAAGGTAGCTGCGTGCTCACTGGTCATCAGCAATGCAGCAGCCCTCCAGCCTCAGCAGGATGGCCTGGACCCAAGACGGGAAGAAGACAGGCTCCACAGGGGAACCCAGGGGGTCCCCTGAAAGCCAAGGCCGGCAGAGCACCATTGGAGGCCTCAGCTGTTTTACAGGTAGAGAAGTTTGGGGCCTGCCAGGGATCTTGAGAAAGGAACTGGGCCCTGGATTAGGGCATGGTGAGCATCTCTGGCCATGGACACTTCTGAGTGTGGACAGTCACCAGCAGCTTGTCTCAGTTTTTTTCTGGTCTAAGAAGAAGGAACAATAGAAGCCATAGGTCGGAAGGGTACTCAGGGTCCCCGGAGTGATTCAGGATACTCCTGAGGGTAAAGAGGTGGCTTCTTGTTGTGGGATGAAGGCTGAACGTGGAGTCAAATGCTTGGCATTAACAATCAACTTCTAGGGATTGTATACATTTCTGAGTGGCAGTTGATCACCTGGAACATGTAGGAGTTGGGATTGTCACCAATAGTGACTTTGTTTTAAAGACTTACTCCACTGACTTTAGGACCAAAGTTGTTCGTAGCGGAAGCTAATCAGTCTTCATTTTCTCTGGAAGAGTGGGCGCACTGAACAAAGAATTAATTTTGGACTCAGGAGCTCCAGACTCTGGTCTTTGATGTCTGAGGACCTATGACTGAACTTCTCTGAAACTTAGTTTACAGGTCACATGAGGAGAATGAAGCCAGGGCTTCCAGCCGTACCACAGAGGTAGGCTCTAGGGAGATCCTGCATGGGATTATGTTTCGAAATACAAAACGCACACAGAGAAGTGTGTTGTAGTAGCTGAGACGGCGGTGGTGATGGCGGTGGACACTGAATGGGCAGAGTGAGTGAGGCTGGTTGGCAGCAGCAGCGATGGCAATGATGGTGTTGATGGTTTTAGTACTTGGGGTTTCTCAGAATTCACTAAGTCCCATTTTACTTCTTGAATTAAGTTCTAGTCAGCACTCAGGTGAACTTAATTATCGCATTTCTGTACATCATTGTACTATGCTCTCATTGATGCTCCCCAGCCCCTGCTCTTCTCTGCGGCCCTTCCTGTTTCCAAATGGTGCCCCTTTCATGTCACACATTGTCACCTGCTCCTGCTCCCTTTAGACCTCTGCATCCTCCCTCATAGTTTTCTCTCTATTTCCTGTGTGTAAACGCACACACACAACCCCCTACACACATGTATAATTCAATCTATCTCTACACAGATCTCTCTCTCTCTCTCTCTCTGTCTCTGTCTCTGTCTCTGTCTGTCTGTCTGTCTCTCTCTCTCTCTCTCTCTCTCTCTCTCTATATATATATATATATATATATATATATATATATATATATATATATATACATATGTGTGTGTGTAAAGGTATCTGTGGTGTATTTGTACACACACACACACACACACACACACACACACACACACACATACACACGTTCTCAGAGGAGTAGTGGGGAGGCAGGCAATCCTGGCCAGCAGTTAGGGGTGTGATGGAGGATGCAACCAAGAGCATCACAGGGCCTGGGCATTAAATAAATGCCTACAGAGCAAGGAGCCAGGGCAGATCACATTTCTCTGTGTAGTTCATAGCATGTGGACACCTGGTCAACCAGACTCTCCCAAGCCTGGCAGGGTAACAACATTGTGGGACTACCGAGACTCTTGTACAAGATACGGACTCTGCGAGGAAAGCACATATGAGATACATACAAGTTACAACAGGATTAAGAGAGCTGATTGATGTACCATAGGACAGGTCAAAAAAAGATACAAATGTCTACATCCGTACTGTAAGTAGACACTCCTGACACCCCTGAAAACTCAACACAGTGAACGCAGTCAGCAATGGTCGTCTGTCGAGCCTGCCAAACCATGTGCACACACAGCCTGGAGCTCTTTGGAGAATATTAACACTGTCACTGTCACTTGTCAGGAGGGAGCTGTCTGAGCCACAGCTGTATCCCTCCTGGCTCGTAAAACGTGTCATCACCTTCCACACAAGTGGCCACCAGTTTGTTCAGGCGCGGACCAGTCTCATCAGTACACAGGCAGCAGGGAGCTGCCTTCTCTCCAAGCCAGGTGGGTAATTTGTCCCACAGCCTCTACTTACAAATGCACTTCACACGGAGTACACTGGAAAGTTTAATTAGCAAAACCACACATAAAGCAGAGGCCCCAGGTCGATCCCACACTTTGCCTCTCACTGGGCCCAGATGAGATTTCCGTCAAGGGTGAAACTGATCTGCCCCCAGAGGGTCAGGACCAAGGCTGGCCCCTCTCAGAATCCGAGTCCCCAGGGGTACAAGAAAGGACCCCAAGGTTTATAAGGTCTTAGAAGACACAGGCCATCTTGCTTAGTTCTGCACAGATGTGACCAAAACACCTGGAAAGAACAACTTAAAGAAGAGAAGATTAATTTGGATCCCAGTTGCAGAGAGTTCAGCCAGGGTTGCTTGTTTCTAGACACTTGGACAGAACATCATGGTGGGAGCCTGTGAGCCCAACCCAACCCTCCCCTCACTGCTGGAGCCTATGAGGGTACATCTTCCCCTCACAGCAGGTACAATGCAGAGAGAGGAGAGAGGAGAGAGAGAGGAGAGAGAGAGGAGAGAGAGAGGAGAGAGAGAGAGAGAGAGAGAGAGAGAGAGAGAGAGAGAGAGAGAGAGAGAGAGAGAAGAGAGAGAGAGGAGAGAGAGAGGGGGAGAGAGAGAGAGGAGAGAGACAGAGAGACAAAGAGAGAGAGACAGAGAGAGAGAGAAGGGATTGGAGACTAGGCAAAATCTTCAGAGACACACTTCCTTGGACACACTTCCTCCAATCATGCTCAACCCCCCAAAGTTTATACCATGTCCAAAACTGTGCCATCATCTAGGGACAAAATTTACAAAATATGAGTCTGTGTGTGTGTGGGGGGGGACACACTTAACACATAAACCACAACAAAGACACACCTTGGACCCAGCAGTGGGCTGTGATGGAATTTGTTGTTCAGTCTAAGGCTGTAGTAGGACAGGCCCATAGGGTTGAGGAAATTGGCTCAAACCAGTTGCCCAGGCATGCACATAACTACTTCCTTATGAGGCAACCTGGAGTCTGCCTGAGGGCCTAGCAACAGGCGCTGTCAGAGTTCCTGATTGTGCATCCAATGAGGGATGGCCACCCAAGGCCGCCAGACTGGGACACAGCCTAGGTGCTGGGAGGAGGGTATACAAGGCTTTCCCTGTTACTGAATAAATGAGTCTGCTGTTTGCCTTTAACTGATTCTCCATGTATGTGTCATTGACGCTGTGCCTTCTCCACCCCCTCCCCTCCCTCCAAGGGAGCCATTAGGATCCAGCAACATCAGGCCAGAGCAGGAGTTACCAGGGATGCTTCTAGGGGGATACCGAACACATGGGCCGAAAGGGTTCTGTCGGAAAGGTACAGGGGCCATTAAATCCATGTTGGCAGCCATCAAACCTTTAAGGTACAGTGGAGGGAGGGATCTAGTTTGAAGGATCTTACACAGTGCTGGTGCATTTCCACACACCAGCCTTGGCCACCCTCTCACCGACTCCAGGGGTTCAGGAAGCTGAGGCCCAGAGAAGCTGAGAGATGTGTACACTGTCACACAGCCAACACAAGTCTCGGGGCTGATCTAGCAGACTTTGAAGCCCTGTGATGTTTCCATTACGTGGGCCCTAGTTTGCTTTCTGTTATTAGAATAAACATGACCAATGCAACTTGGAGGACACACTGTGACTCTTCTGGGTGACAGTCCATCACTGAGGAGAGTCAGGGGAGGCACTCAAGAGGGAACTGCAGCAGAGACCACAGAGGAGCACTGCTTACCAGCCCACTGCCTGGCTCATACGCATCTAGCTTACTTACACAGCCCAGACCCCACCTTTTAGGGATGGTGCCGCCCACAGTGGGCTGGGCCCTCCCACAGCAATTATCAATCAAGACAGTCCCTCACAGCTCTGGACGAGGGCTAGTCTGATCTGGGCAGTCTCTCAGAGGACCCTATTCTAGGCCTGTCTTTGAAAGCGAAAACTAACTAGGTCACGTTTTTGCCCCCCAAACTGTTCCCCCTCCAGGTAGGCAGTAGGGAGACTGGCATCAGTGGACTGGTAGTCCATGGTTCAGAGCGGGGGTTGAGTGAGGAGAGCAACGTCTGTCCCATTCTGTCACTTCTGTCTGAATTCTCTCCTGGAAGGCTATGGAATGATGGCAGCATTTTTTTTTTTTTTGGTTTTTCGAGACAGGGTTTCTCTGTGTAGCTTTGCGCCTTTCCTGGAACTCACTTGGTAGCCCAGGCTGGCCTCGAACTCACAGAGATCCGCCTGCCTCTGCCTCCCGAGTGCTGGGATTAAAGGCGTGCGCCACCACCGCCTGGCGATGGCAGCATTTTAAGTTCACTAGTCAGTCATTGTATGGCTATGGAAAGTCACCGAATCCTTCACTTTTTGTTTCTAGAAAATGGGCCATCACTATTAGGAAGGAGGGCCCTAAGAGCCCCAGCTCCCTGTGGTCCATTGCAGAGCCCAGCAGACTCTGGGCTGAACACAGCTCAGTTCACTTCTTCCTGATGTCATGGGAACGCTGCAGGGAGTTGGGGGCTGGAGGCCAAGCTCAGGCTTGCTGTAGCAGCCTGGTAAAAACATTGCGTTGGAGGATGAGTCCCATGACCCAGACCATTACATGCTGTAGCCTGGAAGGTATCATCATTCTATGACATCACCTCCACCCCCCTCACCAGGCATGCTTCTTCCAGCCCCGAGGCAGGGAAGTACCATCCCCCACTACACTTGGGAAGCCCAGAGACCTAAACAATGAACAGAACTAGTGGCTACAACAAGCTTGGACCAGACTAGAGGTTCTCAATCCACATTCCATAGAGTTTCCTTGGGGGCTACTGTGAGCATTAGGGGAGACTAAATCACATTCTTTACCTTTTCATTTACACAAAACCAAACCACCTCTGTATTTGAATGTCTATGTATCAATTTGAATGAGGAAAAACTTGGTTATTTTTCTTTCAAAACTAACCCAAGTGCCAGGAACTGTAGCCGTCTGCTCCCAAGGGTCCCTGTCAGTCCCTGAGAAGACCCTATTCTAAACGACAGGGCTTCCATCTGAAGGTCACTTGGAGGCCAGTAGGAGCTCATGCTCAGGTCAGAGTGCACCTAGAATCTCTAACCCCAGGCTGCTCCAGGCTGGGGATGCTGCTCCTGGCAGGGCCTGGAGGAACCCTCTGCCCCTTGCTCTCCTCCCTTGAGATCTCAGAGAAACTTGATGAGGGAATTTTTGCCTTTACTGAACAGGGAGCCAAGGAGGCTGAAGAGAATTTGTTCATCACCCACACTAATGTTTCCAGTCCCTTCCTAGGACAGACAACTGGGAACACCATGGAAAGTGGGCCATGGAAGGGCTGCAGGCCCGAGGAAGGCGTCCTCACACTACAGTTTGGCTGACAGGAAGCTCATGAGAGCTGGGTGTGCACCAACAGGCTAAGGTACTTATAGTCCCACGTGCCTACACATACATGCACACATTTATGTGTGCATGTGTATACTCACCTACACATACATAGACATGTACTCACATACGTAAATACATCCCAACATATGTGCATTTACACATGTATATAATCTATGTATCATACACGTCACACACACATCCTTACATACATGCACACTCCCATGCCCTTATTGGCTAATAAGAAAAGGAAGATCAAATCTTGGGTGGATGAGCCTGAGCTCCTACTGGGTCCAGCTTTCCCATTCTCTGTGTAACATCACGTGGAGGTCCTGAAGATGCGAAGATGCTACTTGTCCTGGCCAACGATCCTCAGTCTGGAAAGCACACTTTTTAAATTAATGTTTTCTTTAAAGGATTTCTTTTTAAAAATGTCATCTGTAGAAAAGAAAAAAGCAACCGAGGAGTCTTTCCTCTGTTGAGAAGAGAAGGGAGGGCACCTGCCCCCCTGTTTGCTTTGTAAATGGGGTGATGGTGTTTATTTCAATAACATGGGTCACAGGGATTGATTAACAGATAGTAGATAAAGGGGCCAGAGCCATGCCCAGGACTAATGTGCCCAAAAACATTGTTTCCCAGTCACGAACAGCTGGGCCTACATGGTGATCTCATATGGCAGAGCAACTTCTCATTGGAAGTGCTCCCCAGGAGCACATTTGGGGAGACTGGAAAGGTCCAGCAGTCAGTCAGACAGACAGACACACACACACACACACACACACACACACACACACACACACACACACAGAGGTAGGGCTGTCTACTGAAATCAATAAGTGTAGTGGCTTCCAAACAGTGGGCTGTGCTCTGCCACGCTAGCCACAGTGCACATCTGTTGATAGTCACAGTGGGCTGTGCTGTGCCACACTAGCCACAGTGCACATCTGTTGATAGTCACAGTGGGCTGTGCAGTACCACACTAGCCACAGTGCACATCTGTTGATAGTCACAGTGGGCTGTGAGGTACCACACTAGCCACAGTACACGTCTGTTGATAGTCACAGTGGGCTGGGCTGTGCCACGCTAGCCACAGTGCACATCTGTTGATAGTCACAGTGGGCTGTGAGGTACCACACTAGCCACAGTGCACATCTGTTGATAGTCACAGTGGGCTGTGCTGTACCACGCTAGCCACAGTGCACATCTGTTGATAGTCACAGTGGGCTGTGCTGTGCCACACTAGCCACAGTGCACATCTGTTGATAGTGACAGCTGCCTGGGGCTTAGTGGTGGTTTAGATCCTTTTGTGTTTTGTGTGACTAGTTTCGAAGTACTCTGAGCTCTGAGTGATACTCAGCCGAAGCTCCAGGATCCCAGGGGTCTTCCCAGGAGTCCTCCCAGGAGTCCTCCCACGGGTCCTCCCAGGAGTCCTCCCCAGCTGGCTTACCTCAGCCCCACAGCCCTATTCTTGCTCTAACATATCCCAAAGGCAACTGAATTGTGCATTTTATATCAAATTCCTACTCTCATATTTTATCAGATGCACTCACAATGAAAGGCGAACTTGCCCTCTGAATTGGTAAAGAGTAAAACATATTACTATCAAGTAGCAAAGACCACAAGCCTTTATGAGGGCGGTATTTCAGCTGTGTGTGGTTTGGCCCTTTTCCTCTTCTGCCGTCAATATAGATCTGCACACTTAGTGTGGGGACTAACAGAACAGTGTGTTGAGGTAGGAAACTGTGGTGGGGGGAGGGAACGCGGGAGGGAGGGAGGGAGGGAGGGAGGGAGGGAGGGAGGGAGGAATGGAGATACACAGAGACAGAGGGACCAGGCAGAGAGCAAGCACACAGACCAGAGTTCCTATGTCCCCAGTCCCTAACTGCTTCTCCTGACAGCCCACCTCCTAAAAGCTCCTCCACTCCCAGTAGCTCTCCAGGGTGGAGGCCAGCTTTAACACACAGGCCTTTGTGGAACATGCCATATCTGCCCTCTAGCTCTGGGGAGAACTGAACCAGCAGGGAGTGCTCTCACTCCTTAGGTGTGTTAAGGAACAGACCACTTGGCGACCAGGATGTGTGTGGACAGTGTAAACACAGGGAGACCTAGTGACCTCACTCTGGGCAAGTGCCGGTCCCTGAGCAGTGACTTCGTTACAAACACTCATTCACACAGGCAGCCATGGTCAGTGCTCCGCCATCCACTCTCACTGACTTGCCCGGCCATGCCCTGGACAGAGTCTGCAGTCCCTGTAGAAACATCTGCTTCACATTCCCCAGAGTCTAGGAAAGCAGCAGAGTTTTCAAAATACATACACCTTAACATCAGGCATTATTCAGGGAGGAGACTGGTGCTGGTGTGGGGTTACTATGACAACAGATTCTGCAACAGCAAAAGAGATGAGTCTCAACTGGAGCACATCTTGGAGAAGTGGGTCTTGAAACCCAGGAATAGTGTGGGGTCGGAGGATGGGAAATCACCAAGACCAAGAATTAGGAATGAGAGGTTCTCTGGCTGAAGACAAGGGAGCGATACCACCTGGGAGACAGCGGAAGGTAAGCCTGACACCATCTGAGGAAGCGGTTGGTTCTCGCTAAAATCGGACATCACAGGGAGTGCGCAATGGACCTCACAAAACTTCGGGAATACTGAAATGTGGTCGAGCCACAGGTCTTTAGAAGTGCCCACCTCCTCCTCAGCCCCTCTTCACGGTGTGCCCTCCTGGGTTCTCATGATGGGACCTGCCCCACCCCTCCTGGGGAACCTAGGGTCCCTCCAGTCTCCCCCCACCCCCGCCCCCTCGTGGCTCCCAAAACCTGTCCCTCCTGCCAGGACTTGTGGACTCTTCCTACAAGGTGGTGCCACCCTTGAGGGTGGCCACTGTGGGATTCCACGATTTACTAACAGGTAAAGGAACTGGGGGTAGGGGTGGAGGGAATGAAGGAAAGGGAGGAAGATTTCTCCTTATTTGTTACAGGAAGGACTATTTACTTCCTCTCCATACTGATCAACTTTTCTTGTGTATTTACTTTCTGTTAATGTACACGATTATACAAAACCACGGCCACGTTACACCACGTTCACAGTCTGTGAGGCCCGCTGTAGTTACTTTCCCAGGGACTGTCGGCATTACAGCCTCCCTCCCACACAAATTTCTTTCTACTTTAGGTCTCTTGTTTTTTCTTCTATGTCTACTAGGGAATGTGAGGTCTGTCTCCCTGAGTCTGTCTTATCTCAGTTAACACAGTTCTTTCTAGTTCCTTCCATTTCCTGCAAACCTCATGGCTTCATTCTTCAAAAAAAAATTATGTATGTGTGTATGTATGTATGTATGTATGTATGTATGCATGTATGTATGTATGCATGTATGTATGTATGCATGTATGTATGTACACAGTTATTTATGTGGGTGGGTGGCGTGGGTGCCAAAGCCTGCACGTGACAGGAGTTAGTTCTCCCCCTCCACCGTGTGGGTCCCAGGCCGGCAGGCTCGGCAGCAAGCACCTTTACTACATGCTTCAGTTACTTTTCTGCTGCTCGGATAAGATGCCGTGACCAAGATCCTCACGGAAGGAAGGAAGGGTTTGTTTTGGTTTACTGGCCCAGAGCGGCAAGGGTCCATCACCCTGGGGAGGCATGGTGGAGCCAGGCAGTAGGAACAGAAAGCCGGGCACGCATATCTCCAACGACAAGCAGGGAACAGAGAGCAAACTGGCAATGGCGTGAGGCTTTTAACTTCAGCGCTCACCCCCAGTGATGTGGTTCCGACAACAAGGCTGTGCCATCTAAACCTTCACAAACAGCGTCAGTGACCGAGTGTTCAAATACCCGAGACTATCTGGGATTCTCACTCAAACCCCTATTCCCTGGGCCATCTCACTGGCCCAATTTCATTCCCCTAAAGGGTGAAAACATTCCATGTGGGGGTGGAGAGCAGTGTGAGTGTGTGTGTGTGTGTGTGTGTGTGTGTGTGTGTGTGTGTGTGTGTGTGTGTTGTGCGTTTATCTACTCATCCATTTCTGGGCATCTAAGCCCACTCCAGTTTGGCTACTGTGGAGAGCCATAATAAACATGGGTGTGTAGGCATCTCTCTGTGTTACGTTTGATTCCTTGTTTGTTTATGTGGGTCGGTGATGTGAACACCAAACCTGCATGTGGAGGTCCACTTGCAGGAGTCAACTCTCTCCTCCTACCATGTGGGACCCAGAGATCAAACCCAGGGTGAAAAAGCATATACCTAGGAGCTGGGTAGTGTGGTAGCTCTTGTTTTAATTATCAGTATTATTTGATAAACCCTCAGACCTTCCACAGTGGCTGTGCATATTCACACAACTGTTAACAGTTTGGAAGGACTCCTTTTCTTTCATACTTGTTTTGTTGTTTGTTTTTTATGACAGCCACCTTGACCATGATGAGCTAGAACCACGTCAATGTGGTTTTGTTTGGTTCTTTTAGTTTTTTCAGACAGGGTTTCTCTGGCTGGCCTCGAACTCACAAAGATCCACCTGCCTCTGCCTCCCAAGTGCTGGGATAAAAGGTGTGTGCCACCACTGCCTGGCATCAATGTGGTTTTGATTTGCATTTCCCTGATGGCTAAAAATGCTGAACAAGAGCTTTTTAATTTCACGTAATCTCATTTGTTAATTCCTGAGCTAGTGACGTCATTACCCGAATCTGTAGCTTCAACTGCTTTCCTTTACTCATTTCAAGATTTCCGGTCTTACATCTTACAGAGTGACCTTTAGACAGGACCACCTCGAGCCAGGCGGATCTCTGTGAGTTCGAGGCCAGCCTGGGCTACCAAGCGAGTTCCAGGAAAGGCACAAAGCTACACAGAGAAACCCTGTCTCGAAAAACCAAAAAAAAAAAAAAAAAAAAAAAAAAGACAGGACCACCTCATTCTTCTGCATATGGATATCAGTTTTCCAACACGATGTGTCTTTTTGCCAATATGTTTTGGGCACTTTTACAGTTGAAAATCGAAGGGTTGAGGCTGTGAGGTTTACTTCCAGGTCCCCTCTTCTGTCCCATTAGTCTACATGACTGTTTTTGTCATTGTTTGTGAGATTTTGTCATTTTGGTTTGTGAGATTTTGTTACCGACACGGTGAAAAACAAAACAAGACAACAACAACAACAACAAACCACCTTAGTTTATCATTTGGTGTTATTTGTATTATTTAGATATTGTTTTGTGCTAGTTTTTTGTTTTGTGGTTTAAGTTGCAATTTGAATATAATCATGCATACCTGCTAAAACTGAATAAATCTAGAGAGCAGGATGTATTCATGAGATATGGATATCCTGTTTTTTCCTCCATTCTCTCCTTCTGCTAAGTAATCAGTCTAGTGTTTATTCTCCTGTAATTTCTATGTGAAATATAATTAAATGGGCATACCTGTCAAAACATAAAACACACATGTATGTTCTCCCATACTTTTAACAAGTTTCCCACATCTGTAAACTTCTCGTAAGAGAAACAGAAGGTTGTATCCAAGTGACATTGCACGGCCATTATGGCCTGTTGGGTGCCTTCGGGCAGGAGAGGGAACAAGTGGAGTTTCTGAACAGGGGGACTATGGGACACCGTCACCAGTTCAGAGTGCTCTGGTCACATACTTGGTATCTGTATCAAATTTGATCTTTAACGTGTTTTCCACAGCTAAAGGAACGTCTCCAGAGAAAACGGCCACAAGACAATTACAAACTGAAGCGGCTGCCTGTGGCCTCTGGGGGGATGTCTGGTAACCATACGCTTCTTGTGAACTTGGCTGTGGTGATAGTCCGGGTTTGCCTGAGTCCAAGAAAACCCTGGTGAATCGGGGTCAGGGAAGGGGAGATCCCAGTCATTTGACAGAGAAGCAAACGACCAGTCCAGTCTTTTGCCCACACTGTTGTTTGGAGGACCCACTCAGCACATTTACGAAGCACCTTTGGCTTTGATTAAAGGACAAGAAAACACAAAGGAAATTAAAAAAAGTCGAGAGAAAGTGAGGCAAACCGTCATTTTCCCCAAGTATAAAACAAAGTACTGCTGAATGTGGTGGTGCATATCTGTAATCCCAGAAATTAAATAGCCGAGGCAGGAGGATTGCTAAAAGTAAAAGGCCAGCCTGGGTCAAATACTATGCCACTTAGGACTACATAGCAAGACTTTGTCTCAAAAAGCTATAACAAATCAAATGCTTTTCAGATAATGTGCTGAATCGGCTCAAGTATTGGCAGCCCCTAAGAGGGACAGGCATACAGCTTGTTTCTTTCACTCTCTGCCATCTGGGAAAACAACTGTAAAAGTGGGCAGGCAGGTGGCACAATTTCCGCATGTACACAGGCACACAACACTCACACTCCAGGCTTCCCTGAACACGCCGTGGCTATCCCTTGGCACATGGCACAATCAGTAAATACCTCTGAAATGAATGGATGAATATGACATCTATCCTGATATCCGCATGGAAAGGAGCCAGAAACTTGACCACCATAAAAAGATCTATTCCAGAGGGATGTCAGGTGGCATTTTCCGTGGTTGGTGTTCTGAGCATGCGGCTCGTGATGCTTTGTGTCTGAAGTGTAGCTACGGCACTGGCACAGCTATGAGCAAGCCCTTTATGAGGTCATCATCCTGCTCCTTCCAGAACTCCCCCGATGGGGAGATGTAAGCCACTTGGGGAGCTCCCATGGCTCGCTTGACAAACTCTCTTCTGAAGAACATTGTCATCAGAACTCAGTTTGACAGCGTCAGGAGGAAGCAGTGTCTCCAGTATCTGAACACTCTGAGAACTCTGCAATATGATGGATATAAGACTGTGTATTTTGGGGAAACTGAGATCCCAGAAACCCTTGTCACTGGGGAAGATTTTAGTGACAGCTATTACATGAACACTCCAACCTGGTGTATTCTGCATGCTGGAGGCAGTCAAGGGTGGGTGCCTTGGAAATACCGGATGTTCTTAAGAGATGACCTGTGCATCAAACCGGAAGACAGTCTCTTCTTTGAGTTCTGTGACGTTGTGAAGAAGGCCTATGGGAAGTGCGCCATTGTGGTCAAAGGACAAAGGCAACAAGACGAGATGAAACCAAAGGCCGATAAGGAGGGGGGCGCCCAGGCCTGTGCCCCAGCAAGCATTAACTTAACCAGCATCGTGTGTTCTCCGGGAGTGGCCAAGTCCTATGGCCATGAACTAATCTCTCTGCCCTCCCCCTATAACTACCTGAACCCCTTAGACTCCGCCTGGTCTTCTATGAAGTGGTTCATCATCAACAACAGGAAGGAGTTTTGTCTGCAGTCTGTCGACAACGTCTACGCGTACCAGTACATACTTTTCAGCGACTTAATTAGCAAAGGGATCGAAAAGGTCAGCCTGAGCAAGTGGAAGGCCCTGACCAGCAAAGTGCGGAGGTGGGAGAACCACTATCTGGGCAAGTTTTCTTAAGGGCGTCTCCTCCATGAAGAGACCAGCCGGATGGCCTTTACTGCTAACTGTGGAGTTTGATTCTGGCCCTCTGTCACCACGACACCTCAGGAGTGAACCCACAAGAATGCTGCCTGGACTGAGAGGTTCCTGGGGGTGCTGGCAAGGTCCTGTGGTTCCTAGAGGCGCCATTAAAGTTTGTTGATAATTATAGGGGACAGTCTCAGCTCTCATCTTGTGATAGCTACCTTAAGGACCATGTTCACAGGGAGGATAGGGAAGACTCAAGCCCAGAGGACGGTAGTGGTGAGCAAAATTAAAGGCTATATGGTCAAAATTTAGGTTTAAGAAAAAAAAAGAGAACCCAGTGTGTAGTTATTTAAAAAAAAATAAAAACACTCAACATTAAGGACTAAGCCAATAATCTTCAGTCAAAATAATCCAGGAAGATCTAGCTTGCTATGAGCAAGAGACATGATCAGATGGCCAAGTAAATGCTCTTCTTCTGTGAGGTGGTGGTGGGTGAGCAGCCTCTGCACAGGTCAAACCCCACCATATGTCTAAGGCAAGGGGGTGGTCCACCAGAGGGAGCCAGGGAGACACCACATGGTCCAACAGGTCTTAGGTAAATGGGTGGCATGAGAGGGGGCACTATGGAACCCACATATCCAACCTGCAAGAATCCCATCAGGAGGGTCCAAGGCTGCCATGGTTTACCTCAGGACTCTGAGCTGAGCCTCCTGCAGTTGGTCCAACACCCTGTTCAAACTCAGGGTGCCTGCTGTGGGCCGGAAGGATTGGTGGTTGAGTGTTCGTTACAGAAAAGGCCTGTCCCCTGTGGAACCCACCACCAAGTTCATTCTTCTTGTTTATGTTCAAACAATAACTTTACAACAGAAGGAATCACCCTGAGGTGCATAAAATAATGGCCAACATGGGAAAGTATGGAAAGCCACGAGGCAGGAGCAAAGAGGGCGTGGGAACTCTGCTCTTTGTGTTCAGTTTTGCCGAACCTTAAAAAAAAATGCTCTAAAGATAGTCTATTAAAAAATAGCTTGTGAAAGTTTCCAGCTGACTCCCATCAGACTTAACTGCAGATGAAGCCATGAAGCCAGGTTCTCGCCAGACACAGAATGCTTCATGGTCTTGGCTTAGCTTTATTCTTTCTAGAACCTTCCTGTGCTATTCAGAAAGAGGCTGTGGGGTGAAAAGAGGTGTCCAGGGCTTCAGTGTCCTTCAGTCACAAGTGGTGGGTTCAGCAGACTTTTCAAGCTGGGAAAGCGGATCTTAACATACATCTTACCTAAGGGGGTCACACCCCAAACTGCCAACCATGGGCACCTACCAAGTTCCACCTGTTGCAGATCCAACTTTTACACTGTGCTGTATGGGCTTCCGATGACTGCTGTAACAAATGACTCCAAATCTGGTGGCTGGGAGCAGCAGCTTAATCTTTCCTGTTCTGGGCATAGGGAGCCAGACATCAGTCACACTGATCTGAATCAAGCTATAAATAGCATGGCCACACTGCTCGGGGCTCTGGGGAAGACTGCCACAGACGTCTCCACAGATGGCTGGCTTGCCCTTTGGCTAGTGCCTTATCACTTTTCTTCTCCCCTGGGTCAGATCTCCCGTCTTTGTACTTAGAGTCCATTTGACACGATCTTCACATCCTAACGTCCTTCACTGGACCACATACACAAAGACTCTTTGCCACGGAAGAAGACACAGCTCTAGAAGGCAGGACCTGAATGCTCTGGTCAACCACGGCCACGAAGCTGGCAATGGCCCCTTACTCTGCTCCTTAAACACACCGTTTCTCTTCGGCAATTAAGCTGCCAAACCAACTCTGTGTAGCACACTTGTGTGGTCTTTTCTCTACTTCACAAGTGCTGTGAGGTTTAAATTCCTTGGGAGCAGTGAGCATGACTGGTATTTAGACTTCCTTGGTCTCTTTAGCTGTCACTGTGCAGACGCAAGTGACACACGCCTGAGTTTGGGGCTGTAAATGGGGTTGCCCTTTGACTATATTGATGATATTGACCTCACACTACCCAGAGTTCTAGGGTGATAAGTGGACTCTGGTGTCAACTCTCCTCATACTTGATGTGTCTGTGTCTACGTGGGCCAGCTACTGCATGCGTTAATTCACTTCAACATCACAGCAGATGCAATGGAGGGATGACTGTGTCTACACTTTACAGATGTGGAAACCTGGGGCACAAACCTGTGGGAGGAGCTGCTGTGCACAGAGCTAAGATTCATATACAGTTCACAGTTAAGGCACTATCACACTGCCTCGTTTACCACATCACTACCCACAGTACCTCGTTTACCACGTCACTACCCACAATGCCTTGTTTACCTCGTCACTACCCACACTGACTTGATTACTACATCACTACCCACACTACCTCTTGTCTGAGACGACCTGCCAGGAAGCTGCTATCACTCTTCCCTTTGACAAACACGGAAGCTGAGGGGTGAGCCAAATCCCTAAGGTAGTCAGGTCATAAGGACAGTCTTGTCCACCGTGCTCCACTTGGAGCATGCTCGACTCCTCATTTACAACTTATAAGAAAATCAACACAGGAACCACTCAGCATCAGCTACACACCACAACAAAACGTATTTCAACATAAAATCGAGGGGAGGCAGGACACTTTTAAAGCCTCATGAGTTTGCAGTGCAAAATAAATACAAACAAACAACTAAGCAAAGCAACTGCACATCCTGTGGGTATCAGATGACCAGATAAGGGCGTGGGAGTGTTTCTCATCTACACAGCGGGCTTGGAGCTCCGTTGCTTTGAAGCTTTGTTTAATGCTGAGAAGAGGGAGCAGAAGAGAGTTCAGCATAACCAGTGCCCTCAGCGGGGCACCTTAATGTGCAGTTTGGTAACGCAACCCCAGACTCACAATTATGAAACGTGCGTTTGTGATACACACAGAAACGAAAGCAGAAAATCAGAGGCCACACCCACCTTGGGACCAGGGGCCCCTGTGGGAATCCTGAGACCTTGCCAAAGTTGCTTGGCTTCCCTGAGGCCCAATCAACTCATCAGGAAAATGGGTTGAGGGCCTTAAAATGGAGTCCTGCGTGCCGAAGCCACCACAGACGCCCAGCCCTTCCTGAGAGCTCAAAATGAAGCCCGTGTCATGGCTGAGGTCACAGTTAAACTAATGTCTCTACCTTCATTTCCTTTCTGTTATTTGAGGAGCCAACTTTGTCCCCTGGCATTTATGACAATCCCATAGGTGATGGGAATCACAAGTTTATCCTTGTGGAGGTGGGACAGGGAGGCTGGACAACACGGCCCAGGGGCTCTCTGGGAAGAGCCCAATGAAGGTAATAGTGGACAGCACCCCACACCAGTGCACACACTAGCACACACACCAGCACACACACCAGTGCAGGGTTGAGCCACATCACCACAGACGTGTCCTCTAGAGTAGCATTTGTGGTGTTGGTGGTGTTAGTCTCTCCTGAGGGTGGGCTGATGGACAATCCCACTCTCTCTGGCCTCTCTGCTTCTAATAACTATCCCCACCCCCACCCCCACCCCCACTGTCTTCCCACCTGGGAAGGACCAGAGGAGATGCCCAAGAACATGGTGGTCTAGAAAATGATGCTGTCTTAGAACCAGTGTGAATAAATGTGATAGTTTAGATATCACCCCACCTGGCATATCCTGTGTTTTGATACCTGGTCCCCAGCTAGTAGCACCGTTTGGGATGCCGTAGGTCTAACAAGCCAAGAGGGTCATCGGAGGGTATACTTTGAGGGCTCCCCCTCCCCCCTCGTCCTGCTTCCAGTCCTTCCTTCCTTGCCGGTGCAGCCATTTCTACCAGCTCCTGCCACCAAAAGACAGCTGTCCTACCATGTCCTACCAAGACCATGTCCCACTTGGACTATACCTGAATCCAAGTCCATCCTTCCTCCTTTAGGGTCCCCCTGTCAGGCATTTTATCCCAGCAGGAGAAAAGCAAGCAACATAATATGCAAATAAAACCTTTGCTCATTGCCTCTAGAGTGCCAACCCAGTTGGACAGTCCCACAAATGGTACACATTTCTTCCATGGGTGATTCTTTTTTTGGTGCATGGCAACTCTTCTTTCCATATTCAGTTTTGCTTGGTTCAGACAACTACTACGTCCAGGGCAGTGACCTTTAGGCCCATTTACAAACCCAGACATGACTGGGTTGGTGACTGACACCTAGACACATACACTGCCAGTGGCCAGATGATGAGAAACAGAATCCAAGTCTTCCTACAAGGAAGTCCCTGTGTCCATCTCTTCATGGCATTAGGTTGGGCCAGGAATCCACAAAGATGTCACCAGACTGTCAGGTGCATCCTCTCACCCATCAAAGTAAGAAGTGCCAAGGAGACCGTCCATGGCGCACAATGGCCCTCAGGCACCAGGGCCCAGGGTCCTAGCTCTGTTGTGAGAACAAAGGTCTTTTTACCCACAAATCACTAGGGAAACCAGGAATGCTAAAAACACAGGACTGTCTCTTCAATGGAGCGTAAAATACCTGCATTCCACCCAGAAAGCTGGGAGTGGAGGCTGTTAACAGCCTGGAGACCTTTGTTATCTGTAGAGGCAGACCTCACCCAAACCTCTGGGGACGTTTATCCCAGACTCTTCCCTATTAGACCTTTGTCTTTAGCTCTTAGTAAATAGGACCATCTTTAGGGGGATGTCACAGGTACTTTAGACCCTGCTGATCTCTAGGCTCTCTCTCTCAGAGACAAGACTGGAGCCTACGCCCTTACACTATAGAACCTGTCTTCACGGTCACATGTACTGTGCAAAGGAGTCTCTATGTAGTCACACTTTAAACTTCATTGTGCACCTGGAACTGGGATGGTTGTTTCCTGCAAACCTGGACTTTCCCAGAGTTCTGTTGTGTTTAAATATGCCGGCAATAAACTGCTTGACATCAGACTCCTGAAGTTGGATCCAGGCTAAGTCAGGCTGAACTGAGTTTTCATTCTCACCTCTTTGCAGACGGTTCCCTGCCTGCCATGACACCTGTAGGGACTTCCTCATAGCTCCATTATCTCAGACTTGGTTTGGGCCTCAAAGCTACCTCATAGTTCAAAACAGTTGATGAGTGAGCCACTGCATTAGTGTTCCAGCAGGCAAACGAGAAAGGAGGACACAGGGCTCAACTCATCTCTTTCTTTTGTTTTTCAAGACAAGGTTTCTTTGTGTAACAGCCTTAGCTGTCCTGGAACTTACTCTGTAGACCAGGCTGGCCTCGAACTCACAGAGATCTGCCTGGCTCTGCCTCCCGAGTGCTGGGATTAAAGGCATGCACCACCGCCGGGCACATCTCATCTCCTTTTCATTTACTATTTGCAGTTCTAGGGATGGAACCCAGAGCTTTGAGCGCGCCAGGCCAGTGCTTTACAGTTATCTATACAGCGGCCCACCTCATCCACTCTTGGGGATGTGTGTGGATGTGGTGTGTGCACATGTGTATGGGCAGATGTGCACACCTGCATGCACACAGAGGAAGGGGGACACTGGATGACTTGCTTTATCTCTCTCTCTGCCCTGTTCCTCTGAGGTAGGGTCTCTCACTGAAACTAGAACTAATCTGGCAGCCAGTAAGTCTGAGTAACCACCCTGTCTCTGCCCACCCACCCCCCACCCCCCACTGTGGCACAGGAGCCCAGGCTACACTTGGCTTTGCTGTGGAATAATCCTTCTGTACACTGCAAAGATGTATTGCTCTCATTGTTAATAAAGAGCTGACTGGCCAATAGCTAGGCAGGATTTTCATGGCAGAGAGAATGCTGGGAAGAAGGGCAGCATCACAAGGAGTTACCAGCAAGATGCTGAGGAAGTAGAAGATGAACACACCATGCTGAAAAAAGGTACCACCATGTGGTAAAGCGTAGATAAGAAATATGGGTTAATTTAAGTTGTAAGAGCTAGTTAGAAAGGCCTGGAGAGATGGCTCAGAGGTTAAGAGCATCGGCTGTTCTTCCAGAGGTCCTGAGTTCAATTCCCAGCAACCACATGGTGGCTCACAACCATCTGTAATGAGATCTGGTGCCCTCTTCCAGCCTGCAGGGATACATGCAGGCAGAACACTGCATGCATAATAAATAAATCTCAAAAAAAAAAAGAGCTAGTTAATAACAAGCCTAAGCTATTGGCTGAGCATTTATAAATAATAATAAGTCTCTGTGTGGTTATTTGGGAGTGGCTCGCAGGACAGAGCTGACCAGTAGTCCTGACCAAAAAAAAAAAAAAAACTCCACCTACATGGCTTTTTATGTGGGTGATGAGGATTTGAACCAGGCTACTCATGCCTGTGTAACTCTTACAAGTCAGCTCTTCTTCAGCCCTTATATCAGCTTTTAAGGAAATAAGTTCTCTTCTGTGTGTGGGTGTTTTATCTACACTTACGTGCATGTACCACGTGAGTGTCTGGTATGTACGGAGGCAAGAGGGCATTGGATCCCCTGGGACTGGTCTTCCAGACTGTTGTGCTCCACCATGTGGGTGCTAGGAACCAAACCTTAGTCCTCTGAAAGAGCAGCCAGTGCTCTTAACCCCTGACATGGCTCTCCAGTGCATCTCCTTCCTGTAAATGAACTCATCAGGAAGTCCTAACGTGCTCAAACTTGATTAGTCAGACTTGGTCACAAGGAGAGCTGGGACATGAGTCTTTAAGTTGGTGGTACTATAGATATGTAAAACTCAGGATTATTATCCAGGCAGTGGTGGCACATGCCTTTAATTCTAGCACTCGGGGGGCAGAGATAGGCAAATCTCTGAGTTTGAGGCCAGCCTGGTCTACAGAGCAAGTTACAGGACAGCCAGGGCTACACAAAGAGACCCTGTCTTGAAAAAAAAATCAAACACAAAAACTCAGGATTATAGAGACAAAACACCTTAGGAGTATGCCAAGAGGGAAGGGAGAAGATAAACTGGGGTAGGCATTTATGGTGTTGCCAAGAGAGAAGGGAGAGGATGGATTGGGGAGGCATTTATGGTCTTGCCAAGAGAGAAGGGAGAGGATGGATTGGGGAGGCATTTATGGTCTTGGGGAAGCTTCCTGCTCCCTTTCTTTGAGGTCATCAGTACATACTCATCAAATATTCTGGTGCCTTCTATGTGTTTGACAACAGCTCAGGATTGCCAGAAAAAACAAGTCTGGGTGCTCTAGGAAGTCTGGACTCAGTGGTGGAGCAGCCCCCAGGCTCAGCAAGATGTGAGTTTGTGAATGAGAGCTCAGAGGCTGGGCCTGTGCTGCGACATCACTACAGAACATTTGGAAGAGTACAGAGAGGAGGAGCGGGAGAGCTCTACGGGAGGGCATCTAGGCAGAGGCAGACCAGTGCACGGCTCACCCAGTGTTTAAAAAAAAAAAAAACAGAAGGTCATATTTTGGCTTAAGCTCCAGGCCTTGGTCAACACAGATCAGAACAAAGGTCATGAGTGTGCTGTAGTGGAAATATGGATAGATATGCTTATAGATTTCCATGTGTCAGAATTTATTAACTGACAATAAACCCAGAAGCTATGTCAGCCATTTAATTAGCTGCAATGTGCCAAGCACTCCAGTCTCCCTTGGTGGCTGGCTGTTGGAAAATATACTCATTCCAACCTTAATAACTAATATTAACTCTCAGATCACAAAATAATTATATCGTTCTATTATGTCCAGGTTACAGAATGGCAATAGAAGGGTTTAAAGAGGCCTCACTAAAGGAAGACACCATAGACCCTGGGGATGGGGTGGAAGCTTCAAGTCACGGACTTCCCACCTCTCTCCTCTAGGTCCTGAAGCCACGTGGACCTGGCCAGTTCCAGACATCTTCCACAGCTGGAGCCACGAGAAAGCTCTCATAAAGAGTCTGGTTCCCGTCCTGACAGGAGACAGCCTGACCCACCTCGACCATTTACATACTTCTGGCAGCAGAGAGAGGGTTCCCTACAGTCATATCTGAACACCTCCCATCACTGAACCCTGAGCTTGGCACTAATCCTGTGCTGAGCAAAACTCTGGAACATAGACACAATGAAGCCAGGGTGGGCAGCACCATGAAGGCTCGGCTCGTGGAAGTCCTTGGGAACCAGTGGCTGAACATCTGTTTCCTTCCATGGAATTTGAGCACAGCCAGGGCTCTGTGGTTTCTGAAATACATTGCATCCATCTCTGCCTCCTCGATCAAAGTGTGGGAAACCACTTAACCATTTTTTTCCAAGGTCACCATAAGGGACAAATGTCATCACGTGGGTGCATGATGTGGAGCGGCTGGCCACCGACTGCACTGTATGACACATGGAGATCAGGTGTTCTCTGGCCTGGTCTGCTTGTTTCTTCTTCTAGCAGTCTCTCCTCCTTTACCAGCGTAACCAAAGAAGGTCGATCAGGGGTGCGTGTGAGGTTAACAGGGATCTGCACAAGGAACGCTGAGGATGTCTCACGGGGAGAACATGGGTTTCCCTTCGTGTTCCTTGTGACAACTGAGAGCTACCCCAGATGGCTGTCTATTTTCTAACTGTGCCTTCTCAGTAATGGACCAGCTGCTGGCTGAGGTCCCAATAGGGCTTCTGGCTGTGAGCCACACCATCCTGTCTGCCTGCCAACTTCCAGCCGCTGCTTCCGAACCAACTATTTAAAATATAGCTACAGATGCCCAGGCTTCACTTACAAATGCAGTAAGTTCAACGCGGGCAAGGGGTGATTGATCATCACCCCCTAGTGGCAGAAGCGTGCATAGGCGGGGGTAAAGGAAAATAACAAACTCCACACCGGTCACAGAAAAGTAATGGGTGTGGTCAGTGGTTAAGCCCAACCCCTGGGTCATCATCTATGGAATGTTCCAGGAAGACAGCCACGTGCTCTCCAAAGCTAAAGGGTAAGCTTTAGACCCCAACACCCAGGAAGGTGAGCTTCAGATAAATACCTGCTGGTCAGGATGACTTGGTTAAAGCCAGTGGACCTCTCTGTCATGAACGTAGGGGGTATGTGGATGAGTGGGAGTGGGAGGTGGTGTCCAGTGCCCTGAGTCTGAGGTCAGGCATGCTGGGAAACAGTTATGTCCTAACTCTGCAAAGTGAGTAGCTCATAGAGGTTTGAAATGAAGTGGGTCCACCTGGCAGGCTACAGGGAGGCCCTGACTGAGGCATGAGAATTGGCTATGGTCCAGGGTGTGACCATCTAGGCACAGCCACAGAACCTGAAACCTTGGGCTCTGCCCATCTACGCCCCGGGATAGTCCCAGGCCAGAGTGGAGTCGGTCAGAGAAGAGGTGGTAGCTAGCTCCGGGGCAAAAGTTGGAGCAGCCTCCTGCAGCGTGGGCTGAGGCAGTTTCGGGTAGCATACCCCTTTGCCTGTTTTAACACCTGTCCCTTGTGACCTGAGGGTCATTCTGTACCGGCATCTCCAATCCACTCAGGAGCCTTGAGGCGAGAGAATTACGCCTCGAGACCCCAGTCTGTTAGGTGCCAAGTCTCCTCTCAGATAGGAAAGCATCAGTCGACTGGTCAGGAAGTCACTGTGTAGCACAGGCTAGCCTCTAAATGTTGGCAGCGCTCCTACTTCAGCCTCCCAGAACTAGGCTTCGTGAGCCACCACGCCTCCACCAAGTAGCTCTTTCTAGACCTAGCTACTGAGATCCCTCACCACAGAAACCCTCTCAGACCAGCGGAGGGTCCAGCTCTCATGGATCTGTCATAGACAAGCACACAGTCACCATGGAAACAAGCTGCTCCTGAAGGAGCATGGTGGTGAGTGGGGACAAGCGGGCTGAGGCTTCGACTGATGCTGTCATCGCCGAGGACCATCCCTCAGCGGTGTCACCCCCGACCTGGGCACGCACACGCATGCACCCAAGATTTGCTATCACAACTCCACAACCAGCATGTGCCTGGGAAAAGAGGGGTTGAGTCCTCCCATAAAGTGTGGGGTAGGGGGGAAGGAAGAAGGAGGGGACAGGGAGGGGAGGAGGGAGGGGAGGAAGGAGAGAGGGAGGGAGGAAGAGATCGCAGACAGCCTTTTTTTAGAAATGTACTTTATTTCAGTAACAAAATACTGGTTCTTCTATAAACATACAAAATTCACACTGTTAATCACTAAGTTAAAGGTCCAGGCTGGAAGCGCGTCCTCTGACATCCGGTAATCCCTAAATCACTAGGTCTTTCTTCTCTCTTCTCTGCTGGAGTCCACCCAAGCTTACATTTAAATAGAAAAATCTAGAAAGGAAGGGAGACCACAGCAATGAGGGAGGCGCTGGACACACAGCACTGCTTTGCACACTCGGCATCAATGCATGAGTGTTCTGTCAATGTACGAGCATTCCGACTGCAGTGGGGGCCACTCAGCCTGACCTATTCATCGGTGCCTTTGGACAGCATGGCTTGCTTTCTCTCTGAAGATTCTTTTCTTAAAAGCAGGCTCGGGACAAGCTGCTATCCTGGAAGGCCATCTCCCCATCAGTTCTACGTGGACTGCACACCCACAGTTTGACATGGGCTCAATGGAAAAGTGGGGCATAACAGACGCTGACGTCACACCCCATCTTCCCAGCTTCTCGGGTAACCAGAATCATGGTTCTGCCTGCAATATAACCCAACCAGCATTTCAACTAACTGTCTGTTCTCAGCATTTCGAGTCGCTAATCACTCCCTCTCCTCCGACTAGCACTGGGGCCACGCACTTCCTGCTTATTTTTGCATTTCAGTCAATAAGACAATTTTTGAAAGGCAAGGTTCCAGGGGGTGGGTTCTTCCGCCTGCAGAAGTCTCCACTCACTGAGGACCGGCGAGTGGTGGCAGGCTTCGAGGGCCTGTGGCAGGACCGCCGCGCTCCTCTGGTCTCATTTTTGTGGGGAGATAACACAGCTTGTGAGTGAGCAGGGCAGTTCAATTGCCAGCTCCGGTCCCTATTGTTCTCAGAGAGTTGTCAGTGGGGGGCGAGGAATGCAGCCATGCATGAAATGCGCAGTAAAATGCCCAGCCCAAAATCACCCCTTAGTGCTCCGGTCTCGCCTCCGTCACTAAGACACCTGCTCTACTCCCAACAGCCGAGGGAACGCCTACTTTCAGAAGCGTGGCGTCGGGTGGGCAGCGCTGTGAAGCCAGTTCAGTGGTCTGCTCGGCGACCTGGAGCTGAGCAGACTGAAAATCCCCTGGTGGGTTTTCAAATGAAACACTGCCCAGACTGAACCGGGGACATCGTGCCCTTTCCTGAGGCGGGAGCCTGAGAATCTGTATTCTCAACAAGCAACACACCATCCACGCAGCTGTGTAGGAAACTCTGCTCTGCAGCCGGATTCTGGAACTCTAATCTAGAATCTAGAATCCTTGCTCACTATATTTGAATCCTGAGAGGCCTGGAGTCCGGTTTGATAAGTGAAGAAACAGATCCATACATGAGAGTCAACGATCATGGTCTACCTCTGACAAGGCCTTAAGAATAGCTTCTACGCCGGGCGGTGGTGGCGCACGCCTTTAATCCCAGCACTCAGGAGGCAGAGCCAGGCGGATCTCTGTGAGTTCGAGGCCAGCCTGGGCTACCAAGTGAGTTCCAGGAAAGGCACAAAACTACACAGAGAAACCCTGTCTCGAAAAACCAAAAAAAAAAAAAAAAAAAAAAAAAAAAAAAGAATAGCTTCTGGGAGCCTGGAGTCCTAACCACCCCCAGCATGCTCCAGAGCCCTTCCCGCCCCATCCCAGGCACCCTGAGAGGCACCAGCTACAGCAACGCACAAGCTCCACGCCTCGGGAGGAGCTTTCATCACCACTGTGGAAGTGGACTGGGGAGAGGGGCAAATGAGGTGTGGCCAGATTACGGTCGGACTGCGAAGGGATTATTTGCCACCAGGGAGTCAGACCTCACCTAACAGGGTTCCTAGGACTTGTGAGTCTCTCTCTCCTTCTCTGCTAGGCAGGTCAGCACATTCATGCACCACTGCTTTGCAGTTTTTAGTACCTGGGCTTCTCTGGAGCACAAGTCGGCAGCTAAGTCTGGGTTCTGAGCCGCGCCCCCATCCCACTCCAGCCGCGCGCGCGCGCGCACACACACACACACACACACACACACACACACACACACACACACACACGCTGCCATTAAGAAGCACAAGCTTGGAGTGGAGGACTGATAGATACTCTGCAAATGGTCAGCAGTGGGGGCAGAGGGCGGGGCTTTGCACCCTGTCTGTGGGGACCACGCGCCCTCTTGCAGCCCTTCAGAGAGAGGATGCTGAGATCTCAGGGCACCACCCTTGTTGGGCACTGTAGTGCTCTGGACAGGTTCTGCTTACAAAGCCAGGTACCTCTGCTATCTCCTTAGTTCTCTTTCTTCTCCGACCGCTTCTTCTTCTCCTCGGCTTGCAGTTTCGCTTCCAGGCTTTTCCTTTGGTATATTTTCACTCCCGCAAAGGCCAGGCAGAGGATCAGGGTCTTTGCTGCCAAGATATACAGCAGCAGGGGCACGTGTTCAAGAACCTCAAGGGAGAAAGACACATGCTGATTGCTCTAGAAGTCACGTGATGAGTCTCCGACAGACTCCTTCATCCCACAAATGTTACTTAGCACCTACAATGTTTCAAACAGAGGCTAGGTGCTTGGGCCACACTGGTGTCCTAGTTAGCTTAACCAACGACTTGACACAACCTACAGTCACTTGAGAGGAAAGCCTAGATTGGAGGGGTTGCCTAGACCAGATCGGCCTGTGAACATGTCTGTGGGGGGTTGTCTTGATGATTAATTGATGTAGGAGGGCTCAGCCCACTGTGGGCGGCACCATCCCTCGGTAGGCAGGCCTGGGCTGTATAAGAAAGCTAGTCTAAGGGGCCAGAGAGACGGCCAGGGTTAGATGGAAACCAGTCTCCTGCTCCTGATTCCAGTTTATACACATCTATGTCCCTCCAATTGTGTCTAGGTCCTCTGTGGTTCACTCTTGGTCGTGGATTTTATATTTAGCAGATGGACAGATGAGAAATTAACCACCAGGACCCCACTCACACTCTTCTGAGGCCTGATTCTCTATCGCTACATTTCCAGGTAACACATACCACACCCTCCTACCCGAATCAGTTTTACAGTTAAGTCATGCAAGTCAGCAACAACTCAACTGGATTAGAAACTATTTAACCATCAGGTATGGATATCCAAGGATCCCTGAGGAAGGCTGCCCTGTGTCAGAATAATTCATGAATACAATGAACAGGGAGAAGATCAATATTGCTTAATTTAACTATAATTAAGTTAACTTAATTAACTTAAATTAACTATAATAAAGTAACTGTGTCTACTTTCAACCGCTAAGTCACCTGAGAGTAGAGATCCAATAGCTTAGGAGCAATGGGGGATCTGGAAGATGACACTACAAAGGACAGCGAGGGACATTCACCCTGACAGCAGGAAGGGCTGAGGCTGCCCATCATGTGGTTCCTCCCAAGCCCTATTGGCTAACTTCCTTGCTTCCCATAAACCTCCCAGGCTTCTTCCTGGTGTTTCACATTCCAAGGGCAAGACTCCAGGTTCACAAACTAGCTGTCGGTGAATGTATGGCATTGCCACAGAAACCTCCTGAAGTTCACCAGGCTGTTCTAGGCTGGCTGAAACCAGTCTGAACAGGATTTCTCTCTGGATACACCCTGCCTTCCTAGTAAGATGACGCCCACGTCACGGCCCAGGGTTCTCCGTGGCACAAGTAAGGGCGAGAACATGTTATCTCTACAGGAAGTTCGAAAACAGACTGAAAAGGAAACACAGCTAACAGGCACAGGTTGAGGGGTTTCATTATTTATTTTCTTTTTATAGAGACTAGAGAGGCAAGACTTTCCAGGCTTAGAGGGAGAGAGGGCAATGCCAGCAGAGGGCAGAGCACTGAAGGGCTGAGGAGCATGCCCCCTTGCCTGCCCCTTCTTGGACAGTGGCTTCAGCTGGCCTCAGTTTCCCTCTGATTTTCTTTTCTCTTTCAAAATATGCAGACCTGGAGCAGGGGAATGACCACTGCTGGGTGGGTGAGATCTAGTGTGTGTGTGTGTGTGTGTGTGTGTGTGTGTGTGTGTGTTTGTGTCTATGTGTCTGTGTGCTGGGATGGATGATATCAAGTCGTGTGTGTGTGTGTGTGTGTGTGTTTTGCATGTGCTGGTGCACTTGCTTGTGTGTGCATGAGGACTGTTTTTCTTTCACTCTTCACTGAACGTGGAGCTCAGCTCAGTTTTGGCTAGACTGGCTGGCCAGCCAGCCTCCTCAGATGTGTCCATCTTCACCCTCCCTGTGCAGTCAGGCCTCCTGGACGGCACGTGCACACCAGCCTGGCCACGCAACCGTTGGGTTAGGCAAGCTCCCCCTCACCTCGAGGGTTTTAGGCATTTAATCCAATCCTCACCTTTCCCCTAAGGACGCTGCTGCCCAGAGTCTGGTGAATGCAGCCAGCCGGCAGGCTCTGCTCTGCCTACCCTCAACCTCTGCTCTAACAGCTAAATCTAACATTTTATAGGAATCTTTTGCATCCATTTCCAATCAGTTCAACTTGTCCTTGGTACACCAATGAGTAATTTATGGCTTTTTTCTCAAGATGGTTTCCATGAAAACTGACTTGAATTCCTCAAGAGACTTACATGTGGCTAAGAAAACTAACAATGCTCTTGGAAAAACAACTGTATGAGACTATGGAAGAGGACCGTGAAAATTTGAAGTATTTGTTTGTTTGTTTGTTTTCCTAAGGCAGGGTTTTTCTGTGTAGCCCTCGATGTCCTGGACCTCGCTCTGTAGACCAGGCTGGCCTCAAACTCACAGAGATTCACTACCTCTGCCTGAGTGCTGGGATGAAAGGTGTGCGCCACCACCGCCCAACAGAAATTTGAAGTTTTGTACAGATTGTTTTGTACGATCTTAATCCACAGTCTTCATCAACTCAGGCTTGTGCATCAGTTATAAATGGACATCTGGAGGCTGCAGTCTGATATAAGTACACTGTGGTCATAGGCTAATGGGGGGCTCCTTCCGGGATGAGCCACAGACTTCTGTATTCTCACACAGCAGAAAGAGGCCAGGAAGCTCTTCGCGGTCTGTTTTATAAGGGCACTCACTGCTCCTGCTTCTTTTCTGTTGCTGTGAAAGAACACCCCAACAAGAGCAAACACCCTAACAAGGGGTGGGGGCTGATTGCAGTTCCAGGGTACAGTCCATCATGGTAGGGGAGTTATGATAACAGGAGCAGGAGGCAGCTGGTCACACTGTATCCATAATCAGGAAAACAATGAATGCTTGTAGTCAGCTCAAGTCCAGGACCCAGCTCAGGGAATGGTGTTACCCGCAGTGGGCGGTCTTCCGACCACAACTAACCTACTCAAGCTAATCCCCACAGGCAAGCTAGAGGCCTGTCTCCTGAGGTGACAGCTGAGATCAGCCACCCAGGGTACTAGTCCCATTCATGAGGGCTCTACCCTTGCAACATAATCACCTCCCACGGGCTCCACCTCTAAATACCATCATCCTGGCCTCAGAAATGCAACATACAAATTTGAGAGACACCAACATTCAACCATTGTATCCACTTTAAAGAAACAAAACGTGAAGTGTGAAGTGAAGCTTTAAAGGCCTGGTTTCTGAGAGAGAAGTGAGCTAGGTCTCAAGTCAGACGAGGCACCCTCAAAGAAAGGCCTCGCCTTCCTCCCAAGTCTGGAGAACAAATGCAGATTTACAAGTTTTAACTCAAAACAATAAATGTGATTACATTTTGTTTACTTTATAAAAAAAAATGCTTCACTCCCACCAGGCTCCAAACCCACAGTGACAGACAGCCCCGGTAAAAACTCGGTAAGTCACAAAACAAAAGAAAAAGACATGGATGTGACCATGGGATCTGGGAGGAGGGAAGGAAGCTGACTGGACTGGAAAGAAATAAGGCAGGCTGGGAGTGGGTGTGTCATACACTTCACGAAACTGTTGAAGAACGGATTTAACTAATACTAAATTTGGTACAGCACTGCTACTGTTAATTTTTTACCATCATGAATGCTATTATAGTAGCATGTGTTAAAGGCTTGTTCCAAGTGCTGTGAGCCTTCAGGGAGAGGCCTTAGGGAAGGTCCCAGGTCACTGGAAGTCCGTCTGCAGAGGGGCTGTGGGACTCTGGTTTCTTCTTCCACCCCGCTTACTGGTCCCGGGAGTGACAAGTACTTCTATCTCTGCCCATGCCGTCTGTTACCCGACCAGTGGTCGGTCCACAGCAAGGCTGGAATTTCCAGACCCCATGAGCTGCAAATCAACCAGCTGATCAACTCAGGTGTTCCACTTGTGTGACTGATACATGTGGAAAGACAGAAACAAAACAAACAAAAACTCTACATTTTAAAACTACTCTCACCTTCCAGTTCATGGCGGGCCAGCTGTGAGTTCACTCCTGACCAACGCAACTCGTAGACACCGGCATGAGAGGTAGCTGGAAGCTCTGATCTGGGGAAAGGAGAGAGAAAAAGAAACATGTCAATCTCGAGCTTCAAGGCAGACCACCTTAGGAAGCCTCACCTTTGACAGAGACGGGCACGTGAGCAGAGGTGAGACAAGAGTTCTGCATGAGGTGACCCAGAGCTCTTCCGGGAGGCTCTCCACGACTTCCTGCACAGTGCTGCCCCTGAGACATCTGTTCCCATCCTGTTCCTCTGTGCACCTAACGCCCACACTCACAAACGTTCCCCCTCCCCATCTCCTGACTCAAAGGCAAGCTGGTTTAGGGCTGTAGGTCCTTGTGCTCATCCTGTGCTTTAAAAAAAATTATCTAGAAGGAAAGAATGAATGAGAGAGAAAGCCTGTCATAACGAAACAGCTAATGTATACATAAAATCCTTCTATAGAGTGAAGTCAATGTAGAGCACGTGACAGCGCAGAGGCCGCTAGAGAACAGACATTCTCCGGGGCCGCCCGTCTCGTTCTTAGGATCGGACGCCTGCCCCGTAGCCAGAACACTTGAGATCTGCTAAAGAGCCTGCCTGCACACTGTGTCAGCCAGATGGCCCTTACTATTTCTGAACTTGACTTTATGGCAGGTTATCGACAGCTTGGCTCTACCGGGCCAGTCTGTACTAATGTGCTTAGATGAATTAAGTCAACTAGTCTCTAATTTACTATGTTGACTTTAAAGGGAGAAGAAATAAGGTTTAAGTAACGCACGTAGCTCTTCTGGGTGTGACTGGAATCTGAACCCATCTGGTACCAGAGGTCTATATCTCAAATGGGTGTCTCCAGGTTCTTGGCCTCTTATTAAAAAGTACACAGATATAAAAGTGATTAGGAACTTTATCCAGAAGCATAGTACAGTCTAGATGCCCTACAAGAGGCCAATGGGCTACCTGAGCTGAAGTGGACAAGTCACTGTCCATGGCTTCCTTTTGTGGGTGCAGGAGGGGGTGGGAGCTGATTGCTAGGGGCGAGGTATAGGTGTTTTTTTGGTTCTAATTGATAAGCTTGGGTTATGTAAGCTTTAGTTCACATCCTTTCACACACGATGCATTTGATTTTAATCCTATATGCACCCAATTAGGCATAGCCAAAAGAGGGCAAATAGGGATTTTTTCCTCCTAAATGTTCATTTTGAGGTCATAGCTTGCCTTACTGTGCATGCACCCAAAATCAGCATATGTTGGATCTGGCCATGTTCCCTAGTTTCAGGATATGTTTGGTCACCAAATAGGAGTTTCTGAGGGTTGCTAGGAAGCTACAGTTTGGAGTGTCCATAAGCCTCTGTTTAAAGTGAAGTGTGGAGCCGGGCGGTGGTGGCGCATGCCTTTAATCCCAGCACTCGGGAGGCAGAGGCAGGGGGATCTCCGTGAGTTCGAGGCCCACCTGGGCTACAGAGTGAGTTACAGGAAAGGCAAAGCTACACAGAGAAACCCTGTCTCAAAAAACCAAAAAAAAAAAAAAAGTGAAGTGCATGCAGCTCCCTATGGGGGGAGTGGGGATCCCTACTAGTTTTGTTGAGAGAGCAGTGTGTGTAGCTCCCGCCAAACTGGCTCTCAGGTTTCCCTTCCCTTGCCTACAATAAATTCAGTCAGTCAGATCTGAAGCTCTTCAGCAGGCCACCCAGACACAGGTGGAGAGTTTCCAAATCATGGGGCAGGGGTACTTTTCTTCACATGAACTTAGATCAGAAATAGAAAAGCAACAGGAAATTTCACAGGCCTTTTGAACAGACTTCCTCAGGTAAACCTCATGGGAGATGATTTAGAAAAAAAAATTTTCAATTACCAAAGTATCTAATAGATAAAATTCAGACCTCAATCTATTCAAGGTTACAGACTGTGACAAGCAGCTAGCTATTGGCACAAGATAACCACGTTTTCCTCTTGGCCTGTGCAAGGTCAGATAAAGAGTAAGGTCTAATCCAAAGCTCTGTTTAAATGTGACAGCAGTGACTGAAGGTGCCCACTGCCTTCACGCATTGGCCTGTAAGGAGCAGCAGAGTCGGACCTATAGTGGGACAAAACAGGTTCTTGGCATGTTACAACCTGCTGCCAGAATTTATACTGTGACTCTCTAGGAATCTTAGGGATTAGCTGTGCTGTATATTAAAACAAAATATTTAAGTTCTTTTCCATTTTATTTGTATAATTCCTTCTTAATTGAGTTGTATACATATATAGTCAGCAATTTAACTCTTCCCCACAAACTACCTACGTGGACTGATATGCACAGGCTTAGGTCCAGGAAAACAAGCAGGCCCAAGAAGCTTACAAGAGGAAAGAAATGAAAAACAATCCCCAGGGGTCTAGAAGTCTGGCAAACACAATACATTTAGTAGCAATGTGACCTTGGTCAGGGTACTCGGCCTCTCAAAGCCTCCTTCATCAGTAAATTCTCCTTCAGAAGTTGGCCAGTAATCACAAAGAACCACGAGTAACACACAGAAAACACTAAATCAATGTCAAGTATTACTGTTTTGATAATCTCTCTCCTTTGCTAATGGTTCTCCAGATACCACACAGCACCAGGGCAGGATGTAGTCAGGACAGGACAGCCAGGCACGGGATAAAGAGAAAGGGCAGGGAGAAGGTCAGGACTCTACTCCAGGTGGCACTAATGGCTGGGCATATGACCTGGGAAAGCCATTAACCTCCTGAGCCTCTTGTAATATCCGGGTTGAAAGAGTGAGTCTCCCACTCTGGAAATGATGTCAAGGGAACCTGATGGTAAAGAGCCTGGCAATTAGAGGGTTAGAAGGTAAAGTCTCCCAGAAGGAAACAGAGGGCTGGTGTGGCTCAGCCATAGAGTGCTGACCTAGCATGCACACAACTCTAGGTTCAACCCCAATAACTCACAAACCAGGCATGGTGCATGCCTCCAGTCCTAGCGTTTGGGAGTTAGAGGCAGGAGGATCAGAGTTCAAGGTCATCTAAGGCTAGAGAAAGAGTTCTCCCAGTCTCAGATTCAGGGGATCCTGCCAAAGGAGAAGAGGAAGGAGTAAAGGAAAAGGGGACTCTGTAGTAGTCACAGAGTGGGCTGGGCGAAGAGAAGACAGCAAACACCCGGGTCACCTACTGCTTTAAATGACAGGCACCAAAGCAGACATTCTCGCGGCAGCCTGCAAGCCTTCTGCAAAGGAGACAACCAAGAAAGCTAAATGCACCAGTGAGCGGTCCGCTTTGATACCATGTACTCCTGATCCCGCACAGAAACAAGGGGCAGCTGCCATCGGAGGGATGAAACGAAACCACCACAGTGGGGACAGCTGAAGGGCATTAAAAATATGAAACCCAGGGACCCAGGCAGGCTTAGCTTAACCCTCAACAACAACAAAATGGCTTAGATAAAACTGCTAGTAGTTTTGATCTCTGTTGCAAAGTATCTTTCCCCCACTTTGCTAGTTTCATTTTAGAAACAAAAAAGCTATGCACTCATTTTGATTAGGCCAATTAAAACAACATGGGCAATATATTGCTCACAAGCTCCCTTTGCTTCTTGGCAGGCCTGACAAAGTCAAGGGTACGCCTATCTCAACATATAACGCACTCATTTCATCACCTGAGCAGCTGTGGGAACTTCCTGAAGCTGTTTTCACTCAGTCTCTACCCCTTTCTCTTCAATTGCTCACCCAACCATTTCAAGTATGGGTGGGTTTGGTTGCCGGGGACGCTTGGACCTCACTCAGCCCACTCTGCACAGGCCTTGGTTTTCAGGAAATCCACGTCCACCCAACCCGGGCGGCTCAAACTATAAATCTCAGTACTTTGGGGATCCTCTGAGAAACCAGAGCCACGGTGAACCTCTCCACTTCCTGGAACCGCACACCTCATTTGCACACCTTTGGCGCCTGTGCTCCTATGCAAACTGGATCCTACGCGCCACAGGATCAAAGGGGGCTTTGCTATTCCTGGGTCTCCAGTTTGGCCCCCATCCCCAATACACTCGCTTCACTAAGGGGCGAAATAGAGGCCTCATCTCTCCCTCCCTTCATCCCCAGAGCAAGGCATGGGTTCCCATGCATTGTGTGGCCGCGGCCAGCAAGTGTCATCGGGGCAGAAGCACAAACACGGGGTGGCTGAGGGATCCCCAGCGCCCCAAAGAGTCAATCACACACTTACAACTCAAGGCGGCTGGGCCTCCTGGCCCGGTGCTGACAAACCACGACTCCCACAATCCCGTAGGGAAAACTACATCTCCCGAAATGCACCGCTCCGCACGCAAGCGCAGTCGTGGAGGTCATCCCTTGATGCGCAGGCGCAGTGGGTCTAGGCTGCCGTGAGACGCGCTGCTAGATCCCCTCTGGGCTCAAGGCGCGTGTATCTCCAGGTGCAGGCACTCGGGCATTAGGCAAGTCGTCCAGGGTAATGAGGCTATTGCAGAAATGCAAAGTGGACCCCTAAGGGTGGTCCACAGGTGTGATGCGGCCTGGGGTCCTTGGTCCATGTCGCGGTGCGTCCTCATCCTCGGCTGCAATCGCTGAATGTCGACTTGCTGTTCTCTACAGCTGAGGACAATGGGCCCCCAATTTTTGTTTTTGTTTTTCCCCCCCAGACTTAGCGTTCCTCCAGGGGGACAATATGGCTGCATCGTCTTTTGGGTTAACTGAAGGAAATTCTTTTCTAACCAGTGGTTCCTGAAAGCGTGCTGGGTGGGGAGGCGCGCACGGAGCCCTGGACAAGGCTGTGGAAAGGGAAACTGCTCACCCGAGCTCCCCACCTCAGCTCCTCCATGTGCTGCTGGCATCAAACTGCAGTGGCAGGGTGGATATTTGAACCCAAGAAGTCTAGCTTCAGATCTCATTATGCTTCTCTGTGGAGATGAAGTAGACAGTGCTAGCGTGCAGGCGAAAGCAGACTTGGTTGTGCTAACAAGGGAAGTGTTTTTTTCAGAGAAAGTAACAGACCTTTGTTCTAGGCACTTCAAGTCTATTGTCTAATTTAAATCTATGAGACCGCTAAAGGACACACTATAATTAGAATCGTTTCACCAACGACGAAATGGGAGCACAAAAAAAAAAAAAAAAAAATGACTTGTTCGGAGGTTAAGCCATCACGTGACACAACTGGGGCTCCTCATGGGTTGTGAGACCAGAATCAGATCAATCCTGCTCCTTTTGAGAGAGCTCCGAATCTGGTGCGCGGGACCAGGCTAAGCAGAAAGAACTCTAAAAGGAAACGGATAGAAAGAACAGCTGTTTGAATGGGCGTTTTCATTTGAAAAGCCTCGCTCTGGTGGAAGTTGACACTGGAGGGGGAGGTTGGGGCAAATGGATCAACCACTGGACACCCAACATGCATGTCTGATGTGCTAGTTACCTGCACTGTTAACGAAACTGAATCCCTGACAAAAGCCACTCAGGGAAGGAAGGGTTTGTCTGGGCTACCAGAGTCCACAGCCGGGAAGCACACGGGGCTGGAGGTGTGTGCTCGCTTGGTCTCCTGTTTGTTCCATCTGGAATCCCAGCCCAGGGAATGGTGCCGCCCACTTAGAGTATGTCTTTCCCTCTCATTTAACCCAATCTAGGTGATCCCCCCACAGACATGCCCAGAGGCTTGTCAGCTATGGGAGCCTAGATCCTGTCAAGTTGACCATATTAACTATTACCTAAAGATGTGGCATTTCTTCTGTTCTTCCCCAAGTATAACCGACTGACTACAATCCATGTTATAACGATACTTTCCAGTGTTGATGGTAGAATGTGCTTAATAATGAAGTCCTGGATTTAGTCGCCGGTGTATTTTCCTCAGTAACAGATAAGCCAAGCGGAAATTTACGAACAGGGAAGGGAGGGTCCATGTGATCCGTGCTCTGGAGGAGAAATAATTTCCAGATATGTGACTCTGACCTGCAAGGTGCGGACCTAGCAGAGTCTAATATTTTTGCATTTCAAAGAGATGTTTCTAGATGCTAGGAGAGTTCTTGCAGGGTTTCAGTGTTCGCATTTCTAAGAGACCATTTTAGATGGTAGAAGAATTACTTCTCAAAGGGAAAGAGAGAGGATTTGTAATTGCAAGCTTTCTCAGTTGCACTGAGAGAATCCAGTAGCCTCTCTGCCTACTTTAAGGGGCTAGGATAACCCCAGGGACTCAGCTTTGTGCTCTTAGGGAAAAACAAAAACAAAAAACCCCTAATGTTTGTTCAAGTCTCTTAGGCTATGAAGGTTGGTGAAATAATTTGGACCAAGAGTACGCAGTTTTTACTAGCCAAGGTTGGGGCCTCATCAGGAAGATGGTTCAGAGGGCCTTGACTGGAGATGGATAAAAAGACAAGTCTGTTGTCAGGGTAGAAACCCTGGCTAGATACAGCCCCAGGCTGGGATCGCTGGGTCAAGGTTATCTAGGATGTCAGTGTACATCAGGATTTTAGGCTTCTGGTCTGAGGAAGGCAGCCACTCATGACAAATCTGCTCTTGGAATATGAATGACTTTTTCTAACACTTTAGTTCCTCTGATAGCTAAATGCAAAATGTTGTAGGAAGCCAATACTTTGTTATATCTCCTACAACTCTAGAGAGACAAACATTATAGCTGGCTTTATGGTTTGTGGTCACCAAAACTCATCTTAAAACTTGGTCCCCGATATATTGAGATGTGGGGGCATTTAAGAAGTATTCCCTCCCCCTCCCCCAAGGGAAGCATGGCCTTTTGTGGAGCGAGCTTTCCTCACTAGGCTGATTAACAACAGGGCACACATTGTTATAATGAGTTTGTGTGTGGTGTGTGGTCTCCAGCTTCGCCTTTCTGCCACAAATTAAAGCAGTGTGAGGCTTCACCAGGAACCTGGCAGGTGTTGGTACCCATGCTCTCAGGCTTCCCAGCCTCTAGAACCATGAACTCAAATAAACCTCTACGAATTGTCCGGTCAGGTCATCTCTTATGACAACAAAAATGGATGTCTTTGAATCTTGTCTTTCTTGTACTCCGAGGCTTGAAGCTTATGATTCACTTCAACTGTGACTGCTGTGCCCTGGCCATGGCAGAGGAAAGACCTGGGTATGAAGCACATGATGCTAAGGACCAACCTGTCTCTCATTTGCCCTGGACTTTCTACTTCCAGGAATCATGTCCCGATTCTCATGTCTCTACTCTGGCTGTGTCCACTGCCTGTTGATCTCTGTTAAGATTTGTTCACACTCTAATGCTCAGCTGACTCTCTCCCCCATGCGTGAGCTCCTGCAGCTCAAGAGATCTTACTCTCCTCTCACCCGGGGTCCCAGGCCTGTAACCCAAGTAAATAAACATCACATGGTTGAATTAATGAAGAAAACATCTAATCTTGATAGATTGCAGCTTTCTCATCTGTAGGTGAAGGGTACAGGTGACCTCCAAGGTGCCCTTCAGCTCTGGCATGATGATGCCGTGTGCTCTATGGTACAAAATATTCATTTTATGTTTTTAATGGTAGGTTGCATTGTATGTACAGACATAACAAGATGTTTTGAAGCATATACCCATTGTGGAATGACTAACATATAGCATCTCATACAGATAAGGACACTTGACAGCCGCTCACTTCTCAGTTTTTTTGTTTGTTGTTTATTTTGAGACAGGGTTTCTCTGTGTAGCTCTGGCTGTTCTGGAACTCGCTCTGTAGACCAAACTGGCCTTGAACTCACAGAGATCCACCTGCCTCAGCCTCCTGAGTGCTGGGATTAAAGGCATGTACCACCATGCTCGGTCATGTACCAGTTTTTTAAGAATAAAAAGCATTGTTACTGATCTTACAGTACAATGAATCTTGAATGACTTTAAAACTCAGCTAGCTCCTTCCACCTCAGCCTCCTGAGGGTTGGGGTTATGGGTGTGCACCCCCAGGCCCTTTTAAAATTTGTAGCCTTTGACCAACATCTCTCCACCCCACCCCCCACTATGGTGCAGAAGATTAAGCAACTGCTATGTAGTTTGCAGCAAACACCTAGTGGATGTTCTGTAGCTTTAGTCTTGTCAAACATTCGTGAAAATAAGCTGTTGTAAATAGAAGGAACTAAAAATAAGTAAAAAGTATGATGTTTAGGAAAAAATGCCATATTTTTAAAATTTATTTTTCTGGCCTGGAATCCAATTCCTTTCTTTCTTTTTAATTTGTTTACTTATTTATATGAATTGGTGTTTTGCCTGCATGTATGTCTGGATGAGGGTGTCAGGTCCCCTGGAACTGGAGTTACAGATAGCTGTGAACCACTGTGTGGGTGCTGGGAATTGAAATCGGATCCTCTGGAAGAGCCATATTTTTTTAAGTAATGAGAACTTTTAAAGTTGAAGTTTCTTTAAAAAAATTGAAAACACGTTTTGGTTGCCTTGGGTAGTTCTTGAATATTTAATACCTCTGGTGTGGATTATTTTGTTCTTTCAGGGAGGTAGGGAGGCAGACGCAAATGGAGACATTTGTTCTGTCCAGACGCCCAGATCAGTTAAATACCAGGAGAGCGGTGAGTGCAGAATAACCCCATGCTTCTGTCTGTTCATCCCCGCGGACTCTGTGCCCATGAATCAGTTAAGCAAATGCTCGCCTGTCAGTTCAGCAAGCCCGTGATAGATTTAAGCCTTGGCTTCTGAATAACACGTTTGACTTATTTGTAAATTGAATTTGCTACATTCAGACTAACATTTCCTATGAGGATGCAGGTGGAGGATTTGTAAATCTCTGCTTTCTGCCCCGCCACCCCGCCCAGGGCCTCTGCTCCGTGTTTGGCTCCATTCTCATGATTGAAACTAACTTACATGACATTTACATAGCATGGCAAGTAAAGATGAGATCTCCAACACACAGTGTCTCCCCAGTGGGCTCATGTAAACCACGGAGATAGAAATGTCACCCGGGTCAGTTGGCCAGACAGGCCATCACTCTGAAGGTTTTCAGCACAGAGAGGACCTAGCTTTCTTGGGAGCGAGGACAAGTCGGACTCGCTAGGTGGTAAAAGCACCCCTTCACAGCCAGATGTCCCCTTGGTATTTATCAGGGCAACACCGTCAACCCCGTTGCCCCCATGTTCTCATGGATGGTGGCCTTGGAGTCCTCCAGATGCAGGATCTGACTTTTATACTTCTCCTGCCAATCCTCCACTATGTACTGGTGGTAGGGGTCCTGCGAATGCTCCCGCCGCTTCGACTTCACCGTGCTCACCAGGATGGCCACCACGATGAAGGAGAACATGCCGATCATCACCATGAGGTACAGGATGACATAGTAGAAGTTCTCGGCATCCACCTTGGCCTGGAGCGCCTGTTCCTCAGCTGTCGTGTTCTTCCTCCAGGTGTCCATGTAAGTAATAAAAATCTTTTTGAAGACATCCTCCAGTGTCTGTGTAAAGTTGGCTAATGTGGTCATGTTTCTCCCTGGCTGTAATTAAATGATAATACAGATTAGTAAGGCTAAGGCCCTTCCTCCCTCTTGGCTACCTTCGGGGAGGTAGGGAGGCAGACGCAAATGGAGAGAATGCAATTTCTTTTCTTTTCCTTTTTTTTTTTTTTGAGGGGGGCAGTATTTATTTATTTACTGTTTATACAGTGTTCTGCCTGCATACCAGGAAAAGGCACCAGATCTCATTATAGATGGTTGTGAGCCACCATGTGGTTGCTGGGAATTGAACTCAGGACCTCTGGAAGAGCTGCCAATGCTCTTAACCTCTGAGCCATCTCTCCAGCCCTGAGAATGCAATTTCTTAACCTGGCTAGTGATGGCTTGAATTCAAAATTGGGTAGTCTTTAAACACACTCATTTTTATTCATTGTTTGAATGCACTATTATAATAAAATGTAATAGAAGACATAAAGCGATAAAAAGACATTTATACATAATTATATATGCACACATTAAAATGGGGAAAGATTAGAAGGAAGTAGATCAAAATGTGTGTATATACACACACACCTATGTATAGCCATATATTTTTGCTTTTTTTGGTGTTTTTCTTGAATGTTGAATTCTTGTCAATCATCTTGCATTTCTTTTGTGCTGAAAAATACCAGTGACCTCTCAACCACCAGCAAAATGCATCCGTATGTGTGTATATGTGTGTGTGTGTATGTGTGTGTGTAATGTGTGTAGTGTGTTTGTGTGTGTGTGTGTGTTGCAATTTATGAGATTTTTTTCCCTTTATAACTACTTGATTTCACAGTTCTGGTGTGTGGACTTAGTTGATGATGTTTGTTATAATGTCGAAAGGTCGGTGGTAACTAGCAGACAGATTTTACACACACACACACACACACACACACACACAATGGAAGAGTGTTTTATAGCGATGCCAAGGCATAAACTAAGCATTCTTGGGTCCTCAAACCCACCTCTCTTCTCCTTCCTCACTACCTCTGCCCAGCCACCGCCATCTCTCTGAAACACTGCAAACCCTTTAGGCTGCGCAAGGACGTTCTTTATCAGAAGAGAACCAGGGCAATGCCGTCCCCTTACATCACAGGCTGTGGGCCTTCCTGATGTCCTAAAAATAACTTCCTAATTCCTTAACGAGACTTACCTGTTCCCACCCGGCCCACCTCTGCACTCACTACTTACCCCAGCTGCTTACATGCAGCCAGCTACTCACCTGCAGCCAGCTACTCACATGCTGCCAGCTACCCACACCCACTTTCTCTCCTCCGAGCCAGCTCTTGTCTGAGGACATTTCAGTCTGGCCTCACTTCCTCCCTGCCCTCTCCTTGTTCCCGAAGTCCCGGTGTGTGAGCTGCCTTGAACGTGTGTCGGACAGGCTGTGCCAGGCATCCTTATCGAGAGAAGACCACCCTGAACTTGCAGACATTCTCCCATGGAACACGTCTCCCCAAATTGCCCTCAATGAGAATCCTGTTCCCAATACATGTTTTTCTTCTGACTTCAAAAAATAAGAGATATTTATTTAATTAAATAAATAATTTAATTTAATTTTAAAATACAATTAAAAAATTAATTTATTTTAATTAATATGTGTGTGGGTGTTCTGCCTACATGTATGAATATGCACCATGTTCATGCTTGGTGCTTAAGAAGGGCAGAAGAAGGCATTGGGTCCCTTGGAGCTGGAGTTGCAGACACTTGGGGGCCACCATGTGTGTGCTGGGAGCGGAATTCCAGTGTTCTACAGGAGCGAGTCCTCATAACCGGGGGCCACCATGTGTGTGCTGGGAGCGGAATTCCAGTGTTCTACAGGAGCGAGTCCTTGTAACCGGGGGCCACCATGTGTGTGCTGGGAGCGGAATTCCAGTGTTCTACAGGAGCGAGTCCTCTTAACCGGGGGCCACCATGTGTGTGCTGGGAGGGGAACTCCAGTGTTCTACAGGAGCGAGTCCTCTTAACCGGGGGCCACCATGTGTGTGCTGGGAGGGGAATTCCAGTGTTCTACAGGAGCGAGTCCTCGTAACCGGGGGCCACCATGTGTGTGCTGGGAGCTGAATTCCAGTGTTCTACAGGAGCGAGTCCTCGTAACCGGGGGCCACCATGTGTGTGCTGGGAGGGGAATTCCAGTGTTCTACAGGAGCGAGTTCTCGTAACCGCGAAGCCGTCGCTCTGGCCCCTCACCTGACACTTTTTACTTCTGTTTTTCAGTGGACTCTAGATCTCTCTCTCTCCTCTCTCCACCACTCAAAGTCTAGTAGCTGAAAAGGGAAGTTAGCAAACAGATGAGATCTCCCAGGTGTGTGCCAAGTACACTTCTAAGAGGTGTGGCAGAGATGTGCACTACCACCTTAAATACTGTTCACCGGGAAGGAGTAGAGTCAACATGATTTTTCTCCGTAAAGTTTATGTATGCACATAGGAAGCTCGACGTTCAGTTTCAGGGGACCCCTAGGCTCCCCAGAGTCTAAGAGTCTCCTCCACAGGTGTCCCGAGGTGAGAGATTTTTAGCAGTGCATTCTACTGGAGCTGCTCAGGCCTGCTTCCTGGTGTGGGCACCGTTGCCAGCCCCTGAGAGCTGAGAGGCCTGCACCACCCACTGTTTGCTCAGCTCCTTGCTGCTAAGCAGGTCACGGGTGCTTTTTGTTCAGACTTAATCACAGGCTTGAAAGGGCCTATGAGGATTAAATAAATGCCTGAGTGATGACCTCTGTCCAGGCTGAGCAGGGTTTGCATTTTCAATACTGAGGCATGGGACGAGGCTTGGCTGCAAAGTCTGGAGTTTCCTGACCACGGAAAGATTCAAAGCACTGTGTGAAAGCAATTTTATTGATAGGGATTGTGTTAAAACATATTCAAATGCTAAGCAGAATGCACTATGGAGGTGGAAAGGGAATGTCGGGGGTCGAAGGGCACAGGCATAGGAAGAGATCAGCGAGATGGGGGAGAGGATCTGTCAGAGAACTAACCAAAGCCAAATGTGTAACACCACACCTCGTGCACTAATCTTCAACAGAAATGTAAGAGCGGGGGAGGGGTACAGCAGGTAAAACCTGAGGCTGGATCCCCAGAACTCACGGAAAGCTGACACAGTAGCATTTGTGTGCATGTGTGATCCCTGCACTCCCGTGGTGAGATGGGAGATGGATACAAGGGGATCTTGGGAAGGTAACAGGCCAATCTGCCTGGAGAACAGCAGCAAATGTGAGATCTTGTTTCAAATGCAGGAGAAGGTGAGGACTGATGGCACACTGAGGCTGTCCTCCGATATGCACGTGTGAACTGTGGTATGTCTGGGTCTGCAGTCACACACACATACATGCACACACATACATGCACACACAAACTCACACACATGCAAATTAAAAAACAAATAAAAAATTAAAAAATCTGAAAACTGTGAAGATAAATAACAAGTCAACGTTAAAAATGAAAAAGGAGTTAATTTAAATTTTGATTCCTAGGATAACCACTGACCTGATGGACAGCCATGTCTGGCACACATACGTTCCCCCTTATAAATCCGAGGGAGGCATTTTACTTTAGTAACACCCAGAGAACTGTTGTGTACAATCATTTGAACTGTATGAAATCGCCTTAGGTCTATGTAGGTCTAACTGGTCAGCATCACGTGGTTCCACCTAGTGGGACATGTATCTCCATTAAACGGTTCTCAGAACAGGATGGGCCCCCGGAGAACAGAGACCAGCTTGCTCTTTGGTGGGGTTACGATTACAGCCTAGCACCCAGCTCTGTCTAAGACCGGGGCTCTCAAACTGGCCGCCATGCCTGGGCTAGAACCCAAGTGACCCTGGCCAGTGCCCAGTACTCAGCCTGTCCTAGCGGAGGTGACACAATCCAGTAACCCACATTTCCACTCCTGTGGCCGGATGGCTCAACTGTGTAAAGGACAAAAGACCAAGACCAGGGCTCAAGCTTGCATGCTTCCATTGGTAATGCCTTGTCTCCAGGCCACGGGACGATCCCCTAGTTCCAGCTACTCCTACCACAGATCGATGAGGTGACCTGCCAAGGACAATCTGGACACTACAAGGAAAGTCACATGCAGTTGACCCCCCAATAACTGAAGCTTTCTTTGCTTGAAATATGATGGATCACTACCGTTATCCGAGCCTACAACAGACAGCAAAGTCTTGTATTTTTTATGGAAAAAGATAGGATTGGCTACATTTGGCATGAATCCTTCATTTAAAAAAGCACTTTCAACATTTTCATCTGACGGCATTTACTGAAGACAGGAGGAAGAACAGGTTAGAAAGGGAAGGAGGCAGGATAGAGGGAAGGAACGTGGGTATGAACAAGACATGCACACACACACACATACACATGTACATTCAGATTTCTGAAAAAAGAAAAAAGTTATGTCATTCTTTTTTTAAAAGATGTATAATAAAACTTACCTACACAGTGTGTAAATGACCCAAGAGGCCTTCAAAAGCCGGGCTCTGCCCCTCTTGCTGGCGTTAGCTCTTCAGGACTGGGTATAATCCTCCGCGGGCTGAGCACTTTCAGCTTGAGACCCAGTAAACCCTTGCTGAGTGGAGTCTGCAATCCTGGGCTTTTACAAATCCAAATGTTTAATCTTATGTGGAAAGTTAAATACTGCCTGGCAGCTGGGAATTAACCTTGACGCCTTGATACGGGTGGGGCGTGGGTTTCCTGTGTGGAGCCTGGCTGTGGGTGAAGTGGCTCAGGTTCCCTCTTTGGGACTGCTGTGTGAACGCCTGGGGAAGTGTGGATGCCTGCTCATCCCAGATAGGGCACCAATGACAGACGAAATCAATGATTCCATCCAAATCCATCTTGGTGAACCAGTGAGTTGGTTAGAGTTACTTACAGGACTGTGAATGAGAGGTTGCTTACGGGAGTGTTGGCACCCCCCCCCCCCATAAATGCTGCACAATTAAAAAGTCCCACCCAAGCGTGGATGAAGACTTCCCCATAGCTGCATAGATAGAGCCCCCCCCCCCCTACTTCAGCTAACAGTCCACACAGTCCACACTGTCCACACTTTAGTATCTCCTGAGAACTGAGTTACCTACAGCGGGAGTAGATGGACACAGAACAAAGTGAGTGAACAGAACCTCAGGTAAGGTCTAGTTACACCCCCTGACTCCTACAAGGGATTCTGTGGGTGCCAACAGCTCTCGTTGAGGGTCTCTCAGAGGTAATCACATATATTCTGACTAAGATGGTAACGGCTGCTATGCTTGGAGCATTCCACAATAGGGACCCACGATGACCAATAAAGACCATCAATTACCAATAAAGACCATCAATTACCAATAAAGACCATCAATTACCAATAAAGACCATCAATTACCAATAAAGACCATCAATTACCAATAAAGACCATCAATTAACAATAAAGACCATCAATTAACAATAAAGACCATCAATTAACAATAAAGACCATCAATTAACAATAAAGACCATCAATTAACAATAAAGGCCATCCCTCACAGACATACTCATCCAGGCAACTCCTTAAGTAAGACTCTTTCCCCAGATAGTTCTAGGTTGTGTCAAGTTGACAATCAAAGCTGACCAGGATGCGGGGTGGGAGTGGGGGGTCCTCAAGAGCACTGGGACTTCCTGAGACCTATCATACCACCATGAGTATCTCCATGTGCCAGGTGCTTCTCCAAGGGTTTATCATATTAACTTCATATTGCCATTGTCACAACCCAGTACAAAATAAAGGCTAACTTTCTTCTACAGATGGATTTTCTAATTAGATGGTTCTCCAAAGGGCATGGTTGGAAGCCTACCGGGTGTTAGAGGACTGTAACATTCCATATGTACTAGGTGTGAGGTGTGTCTCTGTAATTCTGCACCAGATTCCCAGGATACTGTTTGTTCCCTGATTTCCTTCACTAGACAAGACAAGGCAAACCCAACTACAAACAGATAACCAGTTGATCTATGGGCACCTCCAGAGCAATGGAAGCCAGATGTTCAAATGAAGGTTTGCTGGGTGGTTGCGCCTCCTGTTGGTAGGAAGAGTAACAGACATTGTTCTTCCTCCTCAATCAGCCTTGAAGGTCTGAATTCTATTGTCACGTTGAGGAGTCTCAGAACACACAAGTATGGTCATCGCAGTCAGTCTGGAAAGAGGTCTGTCATGGAGGTTGAGGAGCCTTAAAGGCTGACAACTTAGGCGAGCACATTACTCTGCACCCCGACATTTGTCTCCTTCAGCTGTAAGATGGAGGTGGCAAGGGTCTCTAGGTGGGTTGTCGTTGAATGAGACAATGGAGATACTGCACTTACCACACAACTCGGCACGTAGTAAGACAGCAAGGTCTGTAGCCATATCAACTTTTATCATTATGAGAAAGAAGCAAGAGCTGTGCCAGCGAAGTCACCATCCAGAAAAAAGTGTTCTAGAACCAGGTCTCTCTAGTAGTTCATTTTAGGATCCCTCTTATCCACACCCCACTACACAATTTAAAAACCAGATTTAGACTACGGCAGGGAAT